GTACTTAGAGTAGGGTCCAATGTCCATCCATATCGATGCCATAAGAAATGCTTCGACTGGGTTTGGTCCAAGACATGACACAGAGGCGGAGTGGGGCGATTTCGGCATTTTGAATTAATACCTCTGGGAAGTTAGTTAAATAATTGGAAGTCTGGCGTTTATTTAGATCACACCAGTCCAAGTCCAAGTGTCACCTCGCTATTGTCGGAAAATACGGTATATTAAGTTCCCGATTAAGGCAACCTTACACGCGGCAATTTAGAATGATTGCGGTGGGTTTTTTAACCGCCGACTCTAAATACTTTTTCCAACCTCATCTACACAAACTTAGCTGATAGAGTGCGTCTCTAAAAATACCCTCCGAATACTGACACAATAAGTTTTTCGGTTTTTTTGTCAAGGAAAACGTGACCAACATGGGATGGGATGGGGTATGATTTTTTTGTACGATTTCCATAGGGAATATTGGACATCTGTGGCTATAAAAATGCAGCCTATTTCTTTGATATTGTTGTTCGTAATGATTAATTATATGTACACTACCTTAACCACCTATACAATAGTAAATTCTAATCCGATATGGGCAACCAACTGCATAGGTAGGTAGCTTATGGAAGGAGATACGGATAGAAAGTTTTTGATTATTCATCCAGTTTGTTTGACTTCCGTTCTGTATTATATTACAAAATATTCAAAGGGTTTGTCATTAAAGTCATTAAAGTTTAATATATGTAGATACATTAATCAATTACTTCCTACGTTTTTATTTGTCCTATACCATTGTTGTAGTGAAAAAAACAAATATTAGCAATATCTTATGGTATCCACTATACAGTGCCTAAAGCTCTGGAAGGACCAGATTCAACCTTCGTTTTAAATAGGTATCGTAGTATTGTAAAGGCTATTCTTAGAAGAGAAATATCCTTTGCAAACGCCCTAAACTGCGCTGTAATCGTACCTATTAAAAAACCCTTTCCGTAACATAAAATGCTTTAAAAACGATCTGATGAGGAGAGAATACTCTACGGCTACGGGTATACCTAATAGCGGAATGGAGTTCTTTAAAGCGCAAGTGACAGAAAGATTTATAGTTGCTTCGGAAAGGGACTAGAAGCCAGAATGCTCTTAAAATTAAAAGATTTTGAATATTAATGTGTTTTTTTTCTCTTTGTTATAATGGGCAACCGTAAATAAATAAAGAAATAAATAAATAAATAAATAAATAAATAAATAAATAAATAAATAAATAAATAAATAAATAAATAAATAAATAAATAAATAAATAAATAAATAAATAAATAAATAAATAAATAAATAAATAAATAAATAAATAAATAAATAAATAAATAAATAAATAAATACTCTAATGCACCCTAATAAGTAATATTCCTTTAAAGATGAGGTGTTCACGTTTCTTCTATTCGTATAGAGTATAGATACAGGGTGTCAATTTTAAAACTTGCAGTCGGTCATATTTTCCAAACTAAAGAAGATATTGAAAATCGCGCAAAACCGTTTCGGGGGTATTGAGGCTGAACCAGAATGACGTTATGAGTGACAAATACGAATTATGTTGCAATCGTTTGCATATATTCACTATATTTGTTAAGGGAAAGTGGAAGATGTTGATGCTTAGTAGATACAGTAGAATTTTCCACAGGTGACTTTCATTGGAGATTAATATACCGGGCGTTTAGACAATTTAAGATATATTGAACATTCTGTTTGTAGTTACAGAATACGTTTATGCGTAAGTAGATGTGTAGTGTGGATTTTTCCACAGGTGTGTGTAGTGTTTTATACTTGCAAGAATTTGACTTAAAATTCAATTACGATGTTTGTTGTCGGCTTGTGCGATGAGTCGGAGTGTGGTTTCTGTTAGGAGTGGCGTAATTATGGTATTTGTTCTTGTATTGCCATAATGTGTTAATAATTAGAAATTTTTTACGTTCACTTTGGGCGAACGTAACAAAATTGCATTCAGCTAAGCCCACGGTAGGGTCGGGCAAAGTAGAAATGGATTGGGGTGAATATTTATGGTTCTTATACACAAGCAAAAAGGGAACTGTAGCAATAGCAATCCGGATAAATGCCCCGTAGTCTTGAGTAAATTTCAAAAGAAAGGAGAGAATACTTATCATAATGTGAGAACAAGGCAGACTAGGAGATGAGGTGTTCTTGTCTTGAAAAGCTAAAGGTATAAAATACTTGATAGGGATTGAACATAAACAATAATTCACGTCACAATCGAGGGTAATTGAATAAATGATCTCAAAATATTACATAAATTTTTCGTACCAGGGGATCAACACGTAGTCAGAGAAAACGTCTATTCTTCTGCAGAAAACAACGGGGCTATAATTGTTAAGTGAATATCAAGCCAATGTAATAATTTCAATTCGGTTGTATCGAAACCAATATGTAATCAAAGGAGTGGACGAAATAAAAAACAGTAACAGACAATGACACAACAAACAAGAAAAAAGAGTGATGAATCGCGCTGCCCATAAAATATTGTCAAATAGCGTCTGACGTCTGACACGGAGGCAATCGGATATTAAAGCTGTAATTAATACTTAAAAAAATCAATAATTCGAAGGACTTTAAAAAGCAAAATTTTATTCGACCACGGATTGTTGGTACAATATCAACTATGCAAGCATAAAGGTTAAATTCAAGAGCAGTACTTTACGAAGTACAAATAACTTAACTTTAAGTGGTAAGGCTTAATTTTGTTGATGCAGCTGGGGCTAAAACTTGTAAATATCGGCTTCGGACAAAGTTTCTGTAACTTCAACATTAATTCACAAAGCAACGGTAGCTAAGATCTCAAATAGCACAGCTAATCTGAAGGATACAATCCAATCAAACTAGCAGAAGTGAATCTTCGCAGTCACAAAAGTAATCGTCAGCAACATCGGATCTCGATAAGCATATTTTTGTAGCGAAGCAAGTAGCATAGGTAAAATCACATGTATCGGAGCAATTTACACAAGTAATGATCTCCAACTCCAAGGTTTCGTAAATACTTGCAGTTGGGAACTATCTTGAAATCTCCAGGTATAAACAACTTCCATCTAAGTAGGTCATAAGTAGAATCACATGTTTCGTTTCACTGAAATGGTGCTGAAATTTGTCGGTAATGTAGAAACATCCATTGCGTCGTTCGCCACTGTCAATCTTGTTAAAATGGCGGGCCCAGGTAAAAGTGCTATATCATCCGCGTACTGCGTGGGTCTAGTAATATAATCTAGGTCAGGTAGATCAACCTAAAAGGTATTCCAAAAGAAAGAAATAAAAACTTAAAAGAAAAGGTTGAAGGAAAGTAAACTTGAGGGTTGAGTAAAGGTAAGGTCCAGAAAAAACGTACGTAATGAGAAAAATGTTGCGTAATAATGTAACATACCTCGTATTGTTTAAATGCAAATACAGATCCGTAAAAAGGATTGAATGGAGCACACATCAAGAGAAAGAGAAAACCATTCCAAAAATAAGGAAGGGAAAGGAAAAAAAACTAATGGCCGTTTGCCCCGACAAATTTAAGCGGAGCTTAGCTTAATTGTAACTTAAAATCCATGGCGGCAACGATTATTGAGACAATGGTTGCCATGGATTTTAAGCTACGCTTTAGCTAAACTCCGCTTAAATTCGTTGGTGCAATCGGCCATAAGCCTTTTTCAAGTAGACACGAAGTCAGAAAAGTAATGGCGTACCAAAACAAAACATTTGCATCTAATCAACATTTACTGTGGGGAAAGAAATACAACTACGCGAACAAGATAAAGTTAAAGAGGAGGATAGCCAAAAATACCACGGTTTCGGTCGGCGAAACAAAGAACTACAGGAATTATCTTACACCTAAAACTAGTGGATTACAAAGAACATACGCAGGTGGCGTAAGAATATCAAATAGAAACGAGGATATATTTAGAATGTTAAATAAATTAGGAAAAAATATTCAAAGAGGAAAAAAACCGTTACAAATTGATGATGCGTTTGTTAAAAAATGATATAATTGGTTTCCGAGGCATAATAAAAGGGTTGCTGTTAAATCGAAGTCAGATTTGACAGGGTATGCGAATGAGAACCATTCCCCCTGATTTGGTAGGACGCGATTTAGTGAGTTTAGTGAATAGTTTTTCTCAGACCCGACCTCTCTGTTCGAAAATGTTGGCTAGTCCCGAGAAAGGTTCCCAAGGAGTTTCAAATGGTCTCGATTGAGGTTCATAGAATTAGCTCTTCGAGATTGCTTTGTTCTTGTTTAGTTTAGAAACCATGTTAATGATTCTATTTTAATTATAAATGATTGGCACCTGTCTTAGAACTGCCTTTGCTTGACCCTGAAATCAAGTAAGATTAAATGTTACATTTCCACTCCTTTTTTCCCGCCTTTTATGTACGAGTACAAATTATGCTAATTATCGTGTTTACCCTGCCACTATCTAATTGTGCATAAATGTAAGTCGTGGTTCGTGTTCCTTCTTCTGTCTTATCTATTTGATTTAATCCTCTTTGGTTTTTGCCATTTATGAAGCCATATCGAGTGAGTAGTATCCGTAGAGATTACTCAATACTTTGCTCATGCGGTTCATCTCAGCAAACCCGCCTTATTTGGCTGTTGGGGTCGTTCTTCTTTTCCATGAGTGACTTGAACCATTGGCGACTGTGGGACCAATTTCTTTGGAAGTCAATCGAGAGTCGGTGTATTGTTTTTCGAGGTCTTTCTTGCACTTACTTCTATAACATTACATCTCTTATCGAAAATGAAAACGTGCATTTTTGGTCTACGGTGTTTTCACATCCTGTATCACTCATTATAATATAAACACCGCCTTTAGTCATGAACCAAGATATTTGATCGAGCTGTTGGTGAACAGATTATTTTTTTAGCGCGAAAGATGGAATTTTACTCTAGAGTTATGTATAGGAAAATACTCCTTTCGATTAATTGATCTCTAACAAAAGTTCAAATTGTTTGATCCTCTTCTTCAAAATTCGTGTCAAAATTTATTGGTTACAGCACATTAATATACAGTTTTGTTTTAATCAATTATGAATTTTGCAGTTTTTTTTTCGATTTTTACCGAAAACAGCTTGCAGATTAACCCCACATACCACAACACGAAGATATAGGCTTGTACGCCCTCAAACAGCAAAACGTCTCGCACCTGGAGATATCTGCTTGAAAAGTTGGAAAAAGTTTTACGTCATCACTTACGAAAGCACCGTGGAAAGATTGCAACATGCTATTTCCAATGGCATGCACTGTAAATTAGATCTAGAGGATTTGCAAGGTCTGCCGAGTTTGCCGGATTTCGATCCGCCGATGATGTGAGGATTGCCATAATCTGGAGCACACTTTTCCCGGTCACCGTCCGCGCCTCTTCCCGATCCGTTCTTCCCTCTGCCACCGCCATTTCTACCTGTAAATTAAACAGGGATTATTGTTCCATGCGATTTTGGTGTCCAGTTCAACACTAAGAAGCTGAGATTTTGCCGACAGATTCGAAATGACAATGTTCATAAGCTTTCATGTTGAAATGGACTCAAAATCAACACGCTGAAAAATAAGACAAAAAAACTTATGAAACTTACTACGTGATTTCAAAAGTGTCTGCCATAATTTGGTAAAATTGGGAGTACATCAACCTGCAAATTTGTTTTTAATCGGGTATCAAATTTGGAATGATTTAAACTTACTGTTTTAGTCACCCACGACAAGTTTCAATTAATTAGTTTTTTTGAAATTATGGATTGTGGAAATAATGACTTTATTTAAGGAAAGACAAAACAAATTATACCAAAACTTGGACAAATAATAATTAAATGTTATTTCTTTCCTTTCTTTCCTTTGCCACCCTTGCCGCCCTTGCCACCTTTGCCACCTTTACCACCACCACCACCGCCCCCGGCTACATCCGCATCCTCATACTGCGTGTCCCTCGTTTCTTTTTTCGGGATGGGTTTCAAGTCGGGTCCTTTTGGGGTGCACAATTCGAGCTCCAGGTTATTCTTCTTATCTTTGTTTTCGCTCTTTTTTCCAATACGTAAGATGAAGACATCGCGATTCGGATCCGCCAGTTCTGTGTACTGAGTTCCATCGGGCGCGGTGCTGATTGGAGGCACCACGGTTACGTTATTTGACGTGTTCATTCCGCATCCTCCCAGTTTAAATGAGAACGGCGTATTTGGTGTGCCATCGTAATCGTACCCAGGTCTCATTGCCACGCTTTGTTCGGTGGTGGTGCATCCACCCCCACCGATTGCTCTAGGCTGATTTTTTTTAGATTGCGAAGTGTTGGTGCCGCAACAGCACGAGTCTTCGTCGCCATCCACGTTCTCTAACTTTTTGTCTTTATGCACGCGGATTCTAAGAGCGTTTCCGCCCATCGAAGCTCCGATTTCTTGGTAACAATCCGCCGGATTCACTGGGGCTGCATTAGCACACACTTCCGGGCACTTCGCCTCACGTGCTGGACACGAAGGAATAGCACAGACTGGCACGCTCGGTTTGCATTCGTCTTCCTTTTTTGCTGTTGCTTGGCCAGCCTTTTTGTATCTGTACAACGAATGGCCTTCTTTATCCTTGAATAGTACCGATTTGTCGTCCAGGTTCATTTGGAATTGCGTGACGATGAGTTTTCCGAAGCAAGACATTCGTATGTACATGCCGATGTCGCCAACGTACTGGCCGACGTGGTTCAAAATTTGAAAGGTATCTTTGAGGGTTTTCGCAGTTGGGCCACTTTCATTGACTGGCATGCTAACGGACGCGATCAACTCGTTAAACAAGTTTATTATGGATATTAGGGAGGTACCGACTTGCATCTTCTGCGCGACATCCTCAGTCTGCTGAATCTTTTTGAACACCGTGACGTGCACGTCAAACTGATACGTTGCTTCGTTCGCTTGCATCGGTGTCAAACTGAACAGGCACGACTTTCCACTTTTAACGTTGCTAGAATCCTGCGAGTACCTCCGTTTTGGGGCAAAGTCGTCTTCGCAAATATCCAAGGGGGGGTTGTCCAAAAATTGGACGGACACGCACTTATCACCCGAGACATCGCCAATGCCGCGGATTACCGTGGGGTCCAAGTGCACGTTGTCGACCAGAAATTCGAGAAGAAATAGATTTTCGGTTACTATTTTATCCATTTTGTAATGCTCACAATAAATTTTTCTAATAATAATTCATAATTTTGACACGTTAAATTTGTTCGAGTGACATAAGAGAGAAACAAATTGTCCGGCCAACTATTGCGAAAACTTTTCGGGGCGGAATTTGATATTTGGAGGAGGGTAGTTTTTGTAATACCAATTCGCCGCTTCGTTCTTGAACGGTAGCCTGAACCTGAAAGAGGGGGCTGTGAACAAAGCCGAAAACGTGAAGGTACCCACTGAGCGAGGATTTCCCTTTTCCTACAGGGATCGTTCTCCGCTTCATCGAACAGCTTGGGTATCGGCTGCCATCGCAAGTAGGAAGTCTGGTAGACGGATTTCTCCGGCTTCACCTCTACTGGTGACAACGATGACGGCAGTTCTGATACCTTCCACCAAAACGGGGGTGGAATTTGACACGAAACTGTCTCTAGGTCTGCTTTTTTGCGCTCAGCCGAGTGGGCAGTTAGGAACCGCCGCTCTTCTTCTTCCTCTTCTTTAACTTTATCAGCTAACTTTTGCCAGCGCGCCTTTTCCATGCAATCGAACTCGTATTTGTAGGAGCGCTGTAATATTCGCGCTGAAACGGAGAATATCGGCTATTTTTAGTTTCTTTATGAACGCAAAATAGCGAATCTTAAAATAACGCGAGGAATTTGCGCACGTGTACTCGTTAAACGTAAATTTCTAGTAAACGAGAATAAATTTTACTAAAAGTGACATGAACCGTTAAGTCTAAAGAACTCGAAACTTTCCACTTGTTCTATTCTAATTGCCGACTTTTGACTTACGCCTGTGCTGGTAGCGAACGTCGTAGCTGGGTTCGACGTTAACGCTGTACTTCTTATACATTTCTGTTACCAGAAAGGCGTTCTGACCCGGTTTGTCAACCCAATCGGCCTTGGCATCCTTGGTCCATTTGTTAAGAATTTGGTCGTTCAGTTTCTCGATTTGGGTTACATCGGTCGGCTCATTGTCGTCCGCCGGAACGGGATAGCAATACTTCTTTATGGATTGCTGCGTTGCTCGAGGTAGTCCAGTTGGTGTGAACTCCTCAGCACTCGCTTGATTCAAGCTAACCTCTTTCAGAACGTAGTCCTTTGGAGGCCGTGGCGGTAAAGTGAACATATTCACCGAAAGTTGTCACTGTCCTGTCACTGGAAATTTTTTTATTGGAACTCGTAGGACTCGTAGGAAACAAATGTACCTACCTACCTAAGACTTACGTATTCACATAGGAGGAATGATCGTCATTTGTGTACCTATGCATTTGAAAAGAGCACAGAAATTTTGAATGTTGTAACTGAATATACTAGTAGTTCCGGCGAACTTCGAACCTACCGTCTTTGGGAAATCCCGTTATTTCCCATTCGCGTGGGGAATTTCTTTGGGAGTACACCTCAAGGCCTTCAAAGAAACCTACATTTTAAATGTAAATCCTTTTTTCGACTGTAAAACATAAAATCCTGTTTTTTTGTTCCCGTTCCCTTGCGAATTTCGGAAAGTGTTTTACTACATCAGAAACCTTCGCGGGCAATTGATACGTTTGAACGTCTATTTTTTCGCTTCTCGCCTGAAGTCGACGGTATGAATTCTTCTAGAGTTGTAATAGATATCTCTTTGGCGTCATCTAGTAGTTATATAGCGAAAACAGAAAAATTGTCTTTTCCTATAATCTATTAACATTCCCGCACCAGTGGTGGATTTACCGATAGGTACACTAGGCACGTGCCTAGGGGCGGTAGCTTTAGAGAGCGGCATTTTTTTGCACTATATTTATTTTAGGTAATATTTTAAGTTTTAGTCCCCTAACAAGTTACAAATTACAAAAACTGTTAATTAAAATTATGAAATAAATTGGAATTGGTCATAGTTTAAATAAACCGGAACTGTAATAACGATAATCGACAATTCAAGTTTTGACGTGTGTGGAAAACAAATCTTAGGTATTTGATTTTTATTATCTTAAAATTTATTGCAATTTAAAGATTATTTTTGGAGGGGCGCATATCTTTCGGTGTGCCTAGGGGCGCAAAAATTTAAATCCGCCACTGTCCCGCACTAGTGTAGTGCGGGAAGTGATCACTTTGCGCACGCGATTTTATTAATTCTTAAACGATTTTATAACCTGATACCAATTTGTTGTCGCATGTAAAAGTTATGCACGTTTTACTTTAAAAAACAGCATCTCGGAAAATATGAATAGAGTGACTCACCTTAAACAACAAAATTTGAAGGCCATCTGGCACACCTTTAAGCTATAGGCTATCTACTGCAAAAAATTCCAGGCCTCTAGGACAATTAGTTCAAAACCGTAGAAGTGGATCCAGACGGACGGACGGACAAAATGGAAACAATAGCACATTTTATAATTCTTACAAAAAATTATAAGTTACTAGCGGACCCGGCGAACTTCATACCACCCATCTATCAATTTCCCGCTTCCCGATGGGACATAATCTCGGTTTCGGCGGCTGCACCGCTTCACCTTGCGTCATTTTACTAAATTGAAAACATACCTACGCTTCACCAACCCTTCCCCAAAGTTTCATGGCAATCGCATGATTGGAACATAAGGTCGATTTCTGCGCCGCCTCACCTCGCCCACAGTCGCACTATCAAAAAAATTCGTGGGCATACGCTCAACTACTCCCCGGTTTCATCCTTTTCATAGCTGGGGGTGTAGTTTTTACAATAACCCTAATCGGAGGTTATACACTGCCTTTTTTTGAGGCCCGGAAAAAAATTCTCTTATAGAATGTGGCCTGTAGAATCCATAATTTCAAACAGTTTCAAGATTGGGCTACTAGTTCAAAAGTTACAGCCCTTTGAATTTTCTTTCGAAATTCACCCAGGTTGAGATGGTATCTGAATATATATTTTTGAATGACCATGTATATAAAAATTTTAATCAAACGTTACAGCAAATAGGTAATTTTTGTTTGTAATTTAAAATTTAATCGAAATGGAGCCCGCTTTTTCGGTGTGTTGTGGGGGAGGGGGGAGAACGAGTGCGCGCATTCAGAAAGTGATAGGCCTGAGGGTGCTTATGGAAGATGCGTATTTGCATGTGGCGTTTAAATTATTAATATTTTAGTGGAAAAAGTGCTAAATATTGTGCTTTTCCATACCCATCAACAATAGATCAACGTGTAGAAGCATTTCTAGCAGTTTTAGAAGAGGTAAAGACGTTGATAGTTCCACTTCACGTTTGGAGAAGACAGCAGCCATTACATCAGCTTTCGTTGTTTATTATGCTGCTATTTTATGCTAAAAATTGCTATGAAAAGGATATAAGATTAGAAGGAGGCCTTCCTTGCCATAATACTGCTCCTGTCGTTCTACTTTTCGATAATTATTGGAAAGTTGGGTATTACCTGCATATTCCTTTGTACGTCATACCAGTCAGTTCAAAATAAGGTATGTGTTGCGTTTGCAATTTAGTTAAATAAACTGAACTGCGGTTTGCTTTTTCTGAACAATCGTTTATATCGTTTGCGCGTAAGCCTTTGGGGTGCATTATAGTCGAACTTATCATACCAGTATTCATTTAGCCTGTGCTTTAATTTAAGATAGATTTTTAGGTTAGAAGTCGAACCATTGAATTGTTTATTTTGTTTAATTGTAACCTATAACGTTTGCATCATACATGAAGCACACAATGTATTACCGGCATTTGACGGTACTTATTGATTTAAAGGTATAATTCAGGTAACCTATCCATTTTGATTTTGAGGAGATATTTATATTTTATCTGAGCACAACGTTCCCAACTTGCTAGATTGCATAGGTTTTCTAAATATTGAATCACGAATTTCTCTTTTTTTGTACGTGAACTATTAAACATTGTGCACGAGTTTTTCTCGGGAAACATCGGACTTAGAGCTTAGATCGACTGAAAAAGTGCCAAAATATTCATTTTTTGCAGATGGTTGGTGCACAATATTTATCCTGGTATTTTCTGATTTGAAGTGCTTTTTTGCGTGAGCAGTTTTAATCTGAGTGGTATTTTAGCGCTTCAGGACCATTAAAAGTGTAAAATACAAACGACTTTTAAGATTACCAAAGCGCGTCAAGATTTTCGAGTTCCTTTTGCGGTTCAAGTGTCTAAGTTCTCTTCACTCACATGTTTTGCCTTGATCTTCTGAGTGACTTTTTGGGTCCTGTCGCATAAATTAATCTCCCTTCACTAATCGCAATGACGTCTCGAATTTTGAGAGCCGCGAGGAGAAGACGAACGGGTTTGTAACGGTACGTTTCATTCACCCGTGTATGGACGAGAACGAATAACCGCACTTTGTGTCGTAGAAGCCGACTAAACAACAGCGAGTCAGTCACAACCCTAGCGCTGCAATTACAAACAATTCTAAAATGGAAAAATAACACCACAAAAACAAATTCAAATGGAATAACCAATTCTGTGCATGTTTCCCATATACACGATGCACCGTCTTTATTTTCGGCGTTTAGATCTAAATAAGGTCGGCACGACGTTGTTTGGACAAAATTATGTTGGTCTGCGCCTTAAAATATTCTCCAGGATGTAGTAATTGGGGAAAAAGTTGCGTGCGCCACCAGTAGCGAAGTTCCGTACCTACGTGTAAATCAAACGCGTAAAATTGCGAATGAGACGACTTATGAGATGGTGAATGCCTCCATTCACCATCTCATAAGTCGATCGATGGTTCAATTTTCCCAAGCAAGACTCAGGAGAATGTGTCTATAATAATAAACATCTCGCGGCCGACTAACGTTATTCCAATCGAAGTCAAATCTGACATTTCGATTTTAACATTAAAAAATTTTTTATTTATTCTGTAATTTAAATTGCGTATTGTGTTCAGTGAATGGAGTGAAAATATTTCTGGTGAACTAATTACCTAGTACCTGTAAACTGCACAAAGTCTTAAATACACTAGGTATGAAAGAAATTTCTTCTGGGAAGTTTAAAACTAAGTATGTGTTTTAGAATAAGAAGTCGATCTCGCATCATAGTTTAGTAGCAAGAAATTAATCTACAGTCTCATAGATTCAGTCCATACTTTAGGAATGTCAGCAGGACTTTTCTGATAGTTGAAGTTAATGTACAGAAAAGAAGGAACTTTTAGAAACAGTGTATCAGTCGATCAACATCGGGAAAACCCTACAAAGGTGTACTTTATTTCACAAACAGCGCAGAAAAGCTAAAGTTAGCAAACAAATTTAAACGATTATAAAATGGCGGACGACGTAGGCTTATGAATTTGCTTAAGGTTCTATATTAAACAGTTCGGTTAACTAGGAACTTCAAGAAGTGCAAGACTTGGTTCAGCAAGCAGAAACCGCCATCAATGAAGTGATGGCCGAAAATGAAATGCTGCAGGAGACTTTTTTAGCGTCGACCGCCGAGGATACCGTCATGGCAAGTGACATTGAAAGGACTTTCTTTTCGGAAGATGAGAATGCACAACAGGGACCATTTGTAAGTGATTGTGCAGTTATATTATTCTGAGTACATCTTATCCTATAGACAGGAGGAGATTATACCGGATATACAACCGATGACGAAACTCTCGTCGCCGGAGATGCTAAAGCACTTATGACCTATGATACTAATATAGATGCGGTAGTAATAAAGGAACTAGAAGATGCAGAACAGCAAGCAATGGAAACTGCCAAAATTATTTACGATCTGAAACAGCGAGTCGCACAACTCCTAAGCGTGAGTACCTGCACCAACTGCGTTTACAAGTAAAATCAACAAAATTCGTAGAAAGAAAAAATGACCGAAGTTGAAGCAAGAGAGTTAGAGGAAAAGAACAAACAGCTAAGCGACCAGATGACCATGTTTGAGGAGAAAACTAAAAGGATTCAGTATCTTATCGATCAAGCTAGTATGTTTGAGAACTTGATATCCGCCAGACCTCGTTTGCAAGCCAAGCACAACGAAGACATGCTTCCCAAGGTCATCATATGCGGAATAACGGAGAATGATATGCCTAAAATCATTGTGTGCGATGATAAAAAGAAATCAAAAAGTCGTCCTCGCACACCCAGCTTTCCAGCACCACAAGCGGTAATTTTTTGGTTGTACCTACCTCATTTGCGTGTCCATGTAATTTCTTCCAGGGTATATTGCCTCAGTTTGCCAAGCAGCTTACCGAAAGTTATTGCATGCAAGAGAAGTTAGCTGAGGAGAATGCCGATTTGGAAGATAAGAGGTCAATCAATCAATATTTTTTCATAAATTTGCAAAACCAGTGGATAGGTTTATTTGGGCATAAAGACATGTGCCATTATTTAGTGAATCTTTTAGTTGACCCTTCTAACTAGCTTTTCTTCTTTGTAGCAGGATGAAATCGCTTTTAGAGCATATATGTAGAGTCCATTATAGATCATAGTTTGCCCTATTTGCTCGTCTTTTTTTTTAAGACCGGCGTCCGTAACTAAATAAAGTTCACGAAGCATCCACTATAACTACCAATTCGGATTATAGCTTTTCACAAACATTTTCTTGTTAATTAGCTATTTTCCTTATTTTCCATAATAACAAAATCACTCATGTACCTAATGCCATTCAATATTGAACACCCTGTATACACAATTTGTTTCAATGTCGGGCGGTATTCTGTGAGCACTACAATCCTGGCGTTTGGAGGGGGCGTTTTACTGATTGTAGTTTGAGTAGCTATTTTTCTTGGTTGTAGAAGACTTCTGACGTTCCAAGGAGAAGACTTCCGGTACTTAATATTGAACTTAATTTGAAAACTTTTTCGAGTTCATACATGAATATTGGCCATTGTGGAAAATACACTTTACCTGATTTATTCGTCGTCTAAATCTATCCTTTGAGTCGTCCAAACTTGGAACACTGGAGCACCCTCTCTCTATTTAGGATTCGTGGAATGGAACCAAAATATTGCTGGCGTTAAATGCTCGCTCGTAATTGGAGGGCTTCACTATTTGCAATGTCCCAAACAATGCGCGATGTTGCACAATTCAAGTTACTCAAAGTTAATTTGACACGTAGTAATTGCGCACAAGGTTGTTTCTAGCGGATGATTTTTTTTACTGTGAAAACTGGAATCTTTCAAATTCTGCGTCAGATTTTCTGCGAACATCTCGCGCAAATTATCTTCACCTCTAAGACCAGCTGTTTAAAGTCTAAAGCTATTCAGTGCAAGAATTTTTCGACAACACATGCCCCTATTTCTTTCGCTTCGCCCAAAATTACCGTCAGCACAGAATTACGACTATAGAAAATAGTTTTCACTTTTGGTTGTTGATGTATAAGGTTAGTATACCTAGGCCAAATTCGTGCCGAGCGGGCCGAAATTGTTTTGCCTTCACGGACTTTTTAGACGGTCAAATTTCTACGATGTATTTTTAAATTCAGAAATACACGCATATGTACAGGGTGTCTGCAACACCGGATATGTCTTCAAAACAGCATTTTCTTAAAGAAGCTCTTTATAGTAGGTGCCCAAAATTATAAAAAGTTTGTTCTTAAATCTTAAATTTGTGGTCAGTTGCGTACTTTGTACCATTGAACAAGTTGATTTCTGTGATATGGCACACGGCATGCTAGATTTCATTTAAAAATTTTCTAAGTATTGGATCACGAATTTCTCCATTTTTTTGTATACCTATCAACCATATGCATATCTTATGTAAGTTGTCGTACAGCAAATTGACTACTCTTTTCAAATTTCTTAAAAAACATAGCCATTGTGGTTGAAAAACAAAAGTGGCATCGATTTCCGATTAAATCGAAAGTGATTCAAAATGCGATTGAATAGATCTAACGTCACATATAAAATTATATTTGACAAATTTTTCGTATCGTGCCAAATAAAAGAGATATTGAGGTAATCCTCTCGTTTGCACTGCATACCTACAGTTCGAGTATGTTTCTTGCTCGACTGTATTACAGTGATCCATTTCTTTAAGGGTTTTCGGTCGATTAGCCTTTACATAAAGGTGATACTGTAAGTAAGATCGGTTAAAAATTAGAAATTTACCTCTGCCCATCTGGGGTGAGCATGTGCGACCCCTGTTTTTCACATGTTTAATTTAATCGATCAATTTGTCTGTGTTAAACGGTGCTACTGTTAAAATTTCAGTCACGGCCTACCGGTCTGAAAATTAATAGATGTCGTCTCCACGCGGTAAGTAATAGGCCAATAAAAATGTACGCAATTTGTCTCATTATATTTTGAATTATTATGCTAACAATTCGGACAACAACGACAACACCTACAACAACGACAACAATGACAACAACAACAACGACAACGGTGACAACGATGACAACTACAACGGACTTTTTTGTGTGTTGAAATCAATACTTTACCTACCCATCTACGGGTGCGGAAAAATAATACAACAAATATAATTGTCTTATATACAGCTAAGAGTAGCAAGTTTAGTACAACTAAAGTACAGACTAGTCTGTTGCCACGACTCCAAAAGGTTGACAAGAATAAAAATTGATGAAAATCATGGACCACGTAAATGGACGCAGGTCTATTTTTGTAAATTTCACTCGATTGCACAAAATTAGGCAATCCACCGGTAAACATAATGTCATTGAAAAATGTTATCTGCGCACAAATAACGGCAGGCGTGTCAAGGATCATGTTATACCGTTTAGTTTTGGCCCACTTTCCTAGTTTCAGGGTCAAAGTGTTCAGATCCGATCGATTTCACACTTCCTTGTCGCGGTATTATGACGATCCCTAACGCCAAATATTCTCCCCGGCTTAAGTTGAAGTGTTTTCTCCCAGCTATGCACAAAACTTACGTGTGATTGACGCGTCGAACCTAAAGCCTCCACTGCTATACCCTGAACGATCCGATTTTCACCATATTAATTTTTTTAACTGCGCCCTCTAACCAACGAATCTGTTCCACCAATAGAATTCATTTCTTCCAGCCAATCACATCTCCAGAAACCCAAAATTACCTACTTTGCCCTATAGTCAGTAGAAAATAATACCAGTACCAAACTCAATAACGACGTTCTCATGTAATTCTAATTAATTTCGTCGTAAGTTGCGACCTTTCACGCGTATTTAACTGACCAGAGCCGTAAAGGAAACCCTTCGTCCAAAAAATACAGAAATTTGTTTTGGTCATTATTTTTAAGTGGGCAGGGTTACAGCCAAGGGCTGTTCTACCAACCCAACCCACTATACATTTACAAATATTCATGCCACAACCCGGATTCGAACCAGGGACCCTTATAATACTACAGTCGTGCTTCAACTTAACTGCGCCACACGGGCCGGCAATCGAAAAAATCGTACAAAAATTAGGAAATTCAAATTAAATAAAATGCGCTAGCGGGCTCTCGTTACACAGTAGACAATAAGCTCCCAAGCTACAAATCCATCTAAAATTTAACCGTCTAAAACGGGCTTTACATAACGTTAGTGGCCTTCTAACTTCTTCAAGAAAAGGTGTCAAGCGACACATTTTTTTTGCACAATTAACTGATTTCAAAAAAACGCCAAGTTATAATAATAATGGCTGATATATTTTTAGCACATTTTTTAAGAATTAAAAAAATATGCTATTTGCGTTTGTCCGTCAGTCCGTCCGTCCGGACCCACTTCCGCCGTTTTGAACTACTTCTAGGGGAATGGTCCTAGAGTCCTGGATTTTTTTGCAATAGGTAGCCTGTACCTTGAAGGTGTGCCAGACGGTATCAAATTTCGCTGTCTAAAAGGGGGGCCCCCCACGAATGATTTCCTGAGATGCTGTTTTTGAAAGTAAAACGTGCATAAGTTTTACATACGACAACCAATTGGTCTCAGATTTTGCATACGCATGCCTTTAGTGGTGCCAAGTTAAACTTTAGAAAATTGTGAGAGGGGGGAGGTGGGGTAACACATGTTCTACCCTTCATGGTATTCTAATGTAAGGTAAAACTTTCCGTTCGAGATCAGTGAGCAACGGGGCCTGAGGGGGGGGGGGGGGGTAAAATTAATTATATTTCTCATTGTATTCTAATTAAAGGTCTCAACTAAAGGAACCGTTTTCTACCAACGACTGCCCTTCCTTCTGTCCTCTTATCAAAGTACGGAGTAGAGGGGGAGGGGGGGGGGAGTGGAACTAGTTTTATTCTTCATGGTACTCTAATGAAAGGTCTCAACGAAAGGAATTAATTTCTACCAATTATAGCCTTCCTCCTCGACCTCTTATTGTGACCGGGTATATTTCCTTATACCTCAAGATCGGATTGTCGGAAGAGGGTACTCACAAAGGGCGATTAAGACGTCTGCAACAAATATATCCATTGGTGATGTCAAAACAAAAGCTATTTCGGTTAAAAAAAATGCGCTTTATCTGCACAAGAGTTGTGCACAATTTATATTTGTTTTATTTTATTTCGCTGACTTTACGAGTTTACCTTTAAGACTTCGCTGAAGTGAGTGTTTGCCTATTTAAATCAATGTGAGCGAAAAAGGCGCTTCGCCGAACCGCGTCTTGCCGCGCTTAAGTGCGCGACGGCCTTTATGCTTCTGTACTTTACAAAATTGCAACTATTTCAATTATCAACATCTTTTTCTCGCTCATGTGTTGAGAAGTGATGAGAATAAAGAACTTGTTTGAAATTGGTTCACAATCCAGTGGCGTCAAATGTCCCTTTGGGGCAAACGACTGTAATAGCCCCGTGACTATTTTCCCAACCCAACGGCATTAATTGTCATATCATGTCGTCTATGTAAAAAATGACAATCTAATATTTGGCATTCTCATTTAAAGGTTTCCGATAAATTCCTACATGTCAGTCATTCAAGTTTTTCCTTCTATACAATCTGCGTCAAAAATTAACTTTTATATTTCTATATGTAAACCAGGTATAAATTGCAAGAAGATCTCCTCGACAAGGATTGTACTGTAGATTGTCTTCAACGCAAATTGCAAAGCTTGCAGGCCGAATTACGTTTGGTTTGCAAAGAAAACTGTTTACTATCAGAGAAGCTTAATCGGATTGAGGTTTGGTGTGTCACAAAAGGGCGATTATTCATGTACATTTTACAGTCTTGTCCGAACCAGCAGACGGCGCAGCGTAATTTTGAAAGATCCCCGGAACTTTGCCAAAAGCACCGTAAGATGCCTTGTGGCAGGAACAAGGGGCCGTGCCCGGCCGATATTGAGTCACGGTTGCAAGAGTATTCCGATACCACGCAGCAACTCGAAAAGCAACTCTGCCAAATGGAATGTGAGGTTCGTAATATGCAGAGCGAGTTGGTCGCCGTGCAGAAAGAGAGGCAGCACCTGGAGCAGCATCGAAAAATGATTACCAGCGCACCTCCGTGCCTACCCCCTCCTTGCGGAATGCCATGTATGCCTCCACCATGCAACGTAACGTATACACGTACTGTTACCCCTTAAAAAATTGCAATAATCCTTAGATGGGCGGCGGAAGTCCTGGGGGAGCAGGTATGGATCAGCAGCTGAGGGAGCTGAGAGAGCAGTATAACCGACTTCAGGATGACTATAAGGGAAAGTTGACGGAAGTAGCTGGACTTCGAGCCGATGTGGAAAAATTAAAGCAAAACGCCAAGGACGCCGAAGAAGCACGAAAAATAGCAGAAGACAAAGTGAAAGAATACGAAAAAGATGTGAAGAGCTTTAAATCCGAAAAGAACAAGTATATGGGCTCAAAAGAGCAACTGATAGAGCAAGAGCAACAGCTTAACGTCGCTAAACAGCGATTCCGCGAGGCGCAGGACGAACTTGAAGAGTTACGCGCACTAATTCAAGATCAACAGGCTCAACTCGATGATTATCGGAATAAGGTTGGTAGATGTTGAAAATACCAACAAGTTTAAAGCATCTTTTCTTAGTATCTACAAGCGCAACAACAAGTTGAAGAACAGCGCAGACAAATCGACATGATGGAAATGGAAAACAACCGAATCAGCGAACAGGTTAATTTAGAAATCCAACGCGTGAAGAATCAATTCCAAGAGAAACTTCAAGAGCTCACTCCACTCCCAGATATTCTAAAGACAACGCAACTAAAACTACAGGAAGCTCAACAAATGCACTTGCTTGCGGAGAGGAACAACGAAAACTTGATTCTCGAGTTGCAGGCGTATCGAGATAAGGCGGCGGCCATGGCGAACCAAATGGAGAAAGTACGAAGCGATCAACAATTAGGTGTCGACGAAAAGGTGGACCTGCAACAGAGAGTGCAACAACTGGAGCTTAAGATAACAGAAGCCGAAGAGGAAATTGACCGACTGCAGAAGGATCTCGTGCGCACCGAAGAAGTGGCCGACCAAAACGAGAAACGGGTGCAGGAGAAGTTGCACGAGATCGCTCAGCTGGTCGCCCAGCTCGAGACCGTGCGCGAAGAATCGGCCAGGCAAGTCGCGCGAACCAAGGACAGATGCGAGACCGTAAGGAGATCGATGCAGAACCAGATCGCCGATTTGGAGCGGCAACTTGCGCAGAGCAGGGCGCAGGCGAGAGGCGCGCAGAAGGATCGCGACGACATCCGGCAGAAGATGCAAGCGCAAATAAACAATTTGAATGAGAACTTTGAAGACGCTCAGATGCGCATTAGGAACCTTCAAGGGCACGTTAATTTCCTGAAGAATTCCTATACGACTGTGTTCCCGAATGAAGTCGGCGACGGAATGGACTCTTGTGACTGCGGAAACGCCTTTTAAATACTTTTGACTAGAAATATTTATCTATACAATATTATACAAATCATTTACAAATAAAAGAAGATGCGCTATCGTTTTGTTTCACTTAAAACTACCTTAACCAACAACATGACTGGAAAATGGCACTACATTTGATTTTATTCCAAGTGGCTATAATGTATCAAATTTCATTTGAACGCCTCCATAAATAAGAAAGTTGGCACTGCGCATGCGCACAACCAAATTTTAAATCTGGCGTTATATATGATTGTAATCCAAGTGGCTATGCATCAAATTTCATTTAAATACCTTCATAAATAAGAAAGTTAGCACTGCGCATGCGCAAAACGAAATTTTGAAACTGGCGTTAAATTTGGTTTTATTCCAAGTGGTTATGCATCAAATTTCATTTAATTACCTTCATAAATAAGAAAGTTTGCAATCCGGTTTGTAAATGGTCGAGATGCGAAAAGGGCACTGTGAATGTTAATCGATTAGCTCAATTTTTGGAATTGCGTTTTATATGGCTTATATGCGCATTTCATGCAATTCGGTTCATAACTCACGGAGATGTCAAAAGGGCCTTCCTTATTTTTTAGGCTACATTGCGAATTCAAGAACCCCGATCTACAAATTTGATAAAGAATCCACCTGCAAAATTTCATCGTAATCAGTCCGATCGTTTATGAGTTATCGTGCTAACGGACGGACAGACGGACAGACACCGCAAAATTATAAACTCGCTAGGAGCTCGTTAATAATATAAGTGAAGATAGTGGAAAGGGGACATTCTGCGAAAGATTCTTTTTGCTGAGCGCGTTGTACATTTTCAATTTAAACCGTTCACATGAATTTTAGACCCAAGAATATAGTCTTTGGAAAATGCACGAAATTGTTCGACTGTCTGTCCGTCTATACCACTACTAGTCCTCAGATTTAAGCTTTTTCGTTTGTTTCTTGTATGTACGGTGTAGCACACCCCTGAGACCAGAACGACAAAAGATTTTTTGGATTAGTCACTTCCTTCCCAAGTTCTGTGGGGTGAAAATCCGCTTTTGTCGGATTTTAACTTGTTGCCTCTTAATATAATTAAAGTAGCGTAATTTTTCTAAACGTTTTAGAGGCATTTCAGGGTGAAAGCTATTCAGCGGCGCATTCTGACACTTCCTTATCGAGATATTCGTACTTCAAATGTGTATCTTATCAACAAATGTGTTCATTGAAAATTCTTATTTCTCTTCGTACGTACTATTTCCGTTAACTGCATTCTAGAAAAATCGATCTCCATAGAGGGTAAGGGTCCTTGACGGACAGAAACATTTTTACTTTACAAAACGCTCAGGTCGTTTCGCACATTTTGAAGATATCGGATACTCCTTGCAAGAAATTTTAGGCAATACTCCTGAAAGTTTGTTCGGATGTAACGGGCTACTTTCTATCATTTAAATTTGAATTATTTTCTACTGCTAATTTAGAGGGAATATATGCTACGGTCAAAGTAATTAATGCGGTAATTATTCATTATTACCTTTCAATGCGAATAATTGAGGGAAGGAAAGTTTTTTGGACAGGTCCCGGAATTACTTTTCTTAGAATTCAATATCTTCTCAGTTTCATAAATGGCAAATTTGACCAATAACATATATAAAAATTCATATTGTATCGTTAACGTGGCAATTTAACACTTAACATTATGCCAGGTCGATGAACGCACAGTTAATTTTTTTTCGTTTCGTACAAGAAATTCTACCAGTTTTAATGAACACAGCGACATGATTAAATGTACCAGAATTATTGAACACCCGGTACATGCATGAACTAATCCTGGTGCTCCCTTACGAGAAACTGAAACTTCTCGAACAATTTATTTCTTTTCAAGGAGTCGGAAATAGAGGGTAAAAGTAATTGCTTTAATTTTTAGCATAGTTTTAACAGCCGATAAGAGATGCCGTGAATAATTAATCAATTGTTCCCGTAGTTATTTTGATTATTTTTGTAGGGTCTCTCTTTTCTGGAAGGGCGGGGGAAAATTAATATTGTATAATTTAAGGTCTGTTAATTATTTATTAGCTGATTTGGGTTCACAATGTAATTGAAAACTAGGGTAGAAACGGACAAGGTCGCTCGCTTGCACGTAGATAAACCTAATATAGTAACCTATTGCTTTATCTCAAAATTTCGGGACGCGATTGGTGTTAACTAGATTATCGAATCCGGAAATTTCAACCCGGCCAATTAAGCAAGTATAATTAACCGTTGGCAATTAAAAGTGTTTCAGAAAACATCACCTGATTAAGACGTGCTTAGTATCCTTAGAAGCGCGCTAAATATCTAGATGTTATTCCAGATTTTTATGATAACAGGAGACCGAACAATTAATTAATAGTACATTATACCTATATCAAGGTAGAGAAGTACAGTATTATTGCCTGAGCACCAAGATTACATCTCGAGGCGCTTGCGCCGAGGGGTGTAAGGTGCGAAGGCAATAATAGACTTCTCTACCGTGGCAACAAATGCCGAGAAAGCCTACTTTACAAGTGGAAAAAAGGTTAATAATCATGTGTGCAGACGCTAGTAGTGAAAAAAGGAGTTTTGATTATGAGCGCTTTCGTACTTGGTTTGGTGTGCGGATGTGTTTTCACGCTTCTGCAAATTTGGGAATTTTATAAAAGGCATGAGCGTGATTTTAAGGGGATCTTTTTCCGTTTTGGTTTGAACGTCAATTTTTTTGCATTTGCCATCGAATCGCATCGTTCAAATTAAAAGTAAGCGTTTGACTCCTTTCGTTTCGTTTCCCCCGTGTCATTTCCCTAACTTTAGTTAATTAATCTATTATTTACCGTTCCCGCTTGGGGAAATTGCTGCTTTGCTGTGTACCTTAATTCTGTTTTAGACCTAACAGAGAATCGCTTGCTATACCCGTCTGATGCTTGGAGTTTGCCGTTTCTCTGACTGACTACTTGTGGCTGCCGAAAACGTTCCGCGACCGGCCAGCCGACCTTGACCAGGAGCAAGGTTGTCATCTCCTGGTGGCGCCCGAGATAAACCGTACCATCGTTAATCAGATGCACGGAGTGGTGATTTGAGTGCCGAGTTTCACCATAAATCGAAAATTTTCCATTATTAATGAACATCCAAATGGGGGGCGCATTATTTTAAAAGAAGCTACCAACCTCTTTATTTCATATATTTTTTTTAAAATACGTGCACGTAGCAGGAATATTGGATTTTTACCTACATTTATGTGCAAAACTGGTAAACTAGGCTTTTTGCGCACAACTCTGTATTTACATACTATCACGTTTGTTTTCAATATTGTGTGAAACAGTCGAATTGTTCCTACTTTTACAGATTGGTTCTTGGAGTTCTTCTTCGACATCATTATAGAGCTCCTCTTCACCAAAAATTCCATCTACGTTAAACACCTCATTAATCTCGTCTTCCACACTTTTTTCGTTGTTGTCACTTGCGAACATCGGCACGTGAAAGGGATGAGGATTGCACTCTTCCTCCCAACTATTTAATCGCCTATCGCTCCTTCCGTACTGTATCGAATCCAGTTTTTGCCGAGGAGTCGGAATGTCGTACGAACGCGGATTACTGGCAATACTGTCGGTCCGGCTTCTCCTTCGCCGCCTACTCTTCCTTTTGCACAAATGAAAACATCCTCCCAACCATTCTGAGAGTAACGATATTCCACCTAGGAGGTAACCGAAACTGAGCAGCAGAAACATGCCTTGGGTATCATCTAAGGCTAGCGCCCGGTCTTCTTCAAAGATACGTTGTGATCCTCCGCCGGTGGCCTAAAAACTGTTCTGTCAAATTTGCAAAAACCTCAACGATACCTGAAGGAATTTTCCGGTGGCCGTGCGCATCATCTCCCATTCAACGTCGCTTCCGATTTTCTTCAAGAAGCCGCTCTCAACAGCTCTTATGATTCCCTTATCTAACACTTGCGTGTAAACCGTGTTAATCCCAAAATTCACTGCCACGCCGAATGGGACGAAGCACTCGGAGCTGATGTGCAACACAGCCCTCTTACTCCTACCCAACCAAGAGGTTCAGCGTGTCTGTAAAAATGGAGAGTACTTACGTGGTTGTATAATTCGTGCGCACCACATAATCGAGCTCGGCTCTCGAGCCTAAAAACGCATAAGACCAGAAGAACGCGGACGTTATGTTTTTAATACCGTCGGCTACCGTCGGCACGTAATCCACCTGTCTTAGTAATTTCGTGGTGTAAGGATCGGAGGAATTTTCGAACCAATACTCCCATCCTCCCTTGTCTGTAACTCAAAGTGCAGTGGTAAGGAGAGAAGAGAAGAATGTTTCTTACCCAAGGTTCCGATTTGATAGTGCCCTGACAGTAGTTGCTTTACAGTGTCGACTGTTTCCGGAAAGACAGGTATGGTTACAAAGGCGATTATCGAGCCAGTGTAGCATGCCGTTATTATAATGGTGAAGATCCAGTAAAAACCTACAGAACGAAAATTTTAGTCAGATGGTAGTTGGTTTATGACGTGTTCCGCGTACAAGTGGAAAATCATCGGTTTGGTGGGTAGGTTAGTTTTTTGCAAATTTTAGCTCTCCAGATTTGTATCAATATCAATGTATTGTAACGAGGACTACGATATATATACAATACAGTGCTATTTGTTAAGTAGTAGACATAGGAATTTAGGAATATTGTAGTTGAAGTTTTGTTTATAACGATTCGAGAGTTTGAAAAACGTTACATTGGTGTCAGGTGTGGGGTTTAATTATAAACAAGAATAATGACAAACTTAATAAGATTGAAGGTTGCCAAATTTGCTGTTTAACTTGAAGAAATATCCCTTGAAACGACAGGTAGGAAGAATGTTCTTCAGGGATCAATCTCTCGAAGTCTTCCTTTGTAAAATTGGGAAATTTTGAACTAATTTCTAGAAAAATGGAAGAGAATTATAGAAAGATTATGGAAGGAAGTAGCGTTAGAGCTGGAGAAGACGAGGACACCGTTCAAAACAAGATTACTTAAGTTGAAGCTGTCAAGCCTATGGTGACAGAGAAACAGCTCCGTTGTTGAAATTGCGGAGAAACTGGGCATTGCCAGAATCTATGTCGAAAGGCCGAATGGAGCTGGCAACAAAAGCAAGAAAATTAAAAAAGGGACAAACATCGACCTGCTATGCTAAGGCCCCAGAAGCCACTGTTCTCTGGACTCAATTCTAATAGTTCGGTGTGTGTACACGGTTTGGTGGATTGAAAACCACTGTCCATACATGTATATACCGGCGCCACAAGAACGATAATGGCACCCCATATTTGGTTAAAACAATCATCAGCCACTAATTCGAAGCTAAGGAAAGCGACTAGAGCCGTTGTTAATATGCACGGTAAAGCGTCTGTGAGGATTACGTTTGGAGGTTCTTGTATCAAAGAAAATGTTTTCGTAGCCGATATTGAAGACGATTTTATTTTTGGCATGGACCTCATGAGAAAATAGATGGATTTAAATGAAGGAGAGACAGAAGGTGTTATCTAGCCATCGAGTCCTTGGGCTTTGCCTGTGGTAATGGTTAAGAAGAAGTATGGGCCAAGCCTATTCTGTGTGAATTATCGTCTCCTCCATGACGTGATTAAAAAAGATGACTATCCACTTCCATGAATTAATGACACGCTTGACACACTATCCGGCTCCACGTTTTTCGCGACTTTGGATTTAAAAAGCGGTTATTGGCAAGTAAAAATGGCTCCAGAACATCGGAAAAAGACGACATTTACGATCGGATCGGGATTATGGCGTTTTACAGGCATGCCGTTTGGATTGTGCAACGCACCCCCGACGTTTAAACGTCTCATGGAAAATGTGCTAAAATGACTATCGTGGAAGACTTTTAATTTACCTGGACGACCTCATTGTAGTGGGAAAGACCTTCGAACCGCAATTACTAAACCTCTGACTCGCCTTAGTGAAGATGCCAACGTTTTGGAGTGGACAGAAGACTGTTCCGCTGATTTTCAAGAGTTGAAACGACTGCGCCGATACTGATCTATCATAGATGGGACGGATTCAGTAAGGTGCTTTCGAAGCCGAAATTATTGTGTTACCCGGCGAGAGTTACTGGCGGCTGTAAAATCCATCGATCACTTCTACAAATACAAGTACGAAAGAAATTTTAGCCTCAAGATGGTTACTAAATTTTAAAAATCCGGAAGACCAGATCGAAAGAATACAAGAATACAACTCCATCGTCAAACATAGAACGAGGACAAGCCATAGGAAAGCTGATGCATTGTCAAGAAGACCTTGCTCGTCGGATTGTCGCCTTTGTAGTAGGGCAGAAGGAGATATGGCACCGGTGTGTAGAACGACGCTGGTGGACGATTCTTGGCAGCCAGCCGTGTTAGCATCTCAACAAGAAACTGACTCGGATTTGAAACAGATTATTTAGTGGAATAAAAATGGACGGCGGCCCAATTGGTTATTTTATCAATCTGATTGAGAAAGATATTCTAAAGCGCTTCCTGGAGAATGACGATGGATAACAACAGAGGGCACAGTTGTTGATTTCGAGGAGTCTTGAAACAGCCACACGAAGGATCAGTGGTGGTCACTTTTGAACAAAGAAAAGGCTGGAAAAACGCCAAAGGTGTTCTTGGCGAAATGTAAAAAGGACGTTTAAAGAATGGTGCAGCAAATGCACAATTTGCGAAGCCAGTAAGGTCCTTTACACACGTATCGGGTAAGGGCCGACGGATATCGGTTAGCCGATGTCTTTTCTATGAGACAGTATGAGAGCTCTCACACGTGTCGGACAGTGATCGCATATCGGGCCATATCGGTGGGTACCCGATCGCCAACCGATATCGGTCGATTTTTCCCGATATGTGTAAAGAGCCTAGGAGCACATTTACACGGGGATACTATATGCGAGATACAGTCTGTCGTCAGAATTGATGTCAAATAGGTACACTGCGCAGACTGGGGTTTCTAAACTTCTCTTTCGCAGTGAAGTACTTTTTCGGCGATGCAGTGGCGGGCTAATGAAAAAGTCTCCTTGTGTAAACAGTCCTAATGAACCAGTAGCCCATCAGTCCCCCAAAATCGTAAAATCGCCGCGCGACTGGGACTAGCGAAATTTAGTCGCCCATGCGAAAAGTGTGCGTGTGGTAACGGCTCCATAAGACGCAATGTTTCAAGTGTATCCGAGATACCGGTATCCGGGCGACTGTATCCCCGTGTAAAAGCGGTCCAAGGGTCCACATAGCCGACCAGCAGTCCCTGTGATATAGTGTAACGTGGGAAGCCCAATCGAGATAATTGCGATTGATATAGTCATGGACTACATCAGCAAATGGGTCGAGGCATACACTATGCCGGATCAGGAGGCGATAACCGTTGTTGAAGTGTTGGTAAAAGAATGGATCTGTCGATTCGGGACGCCATTAGAATTACATGCCGATCAAGGAAGATATTTTGATTCAAGATCGTTGATAAACATTCATTAAACTAGAACTACGGCTTCACATCCTTAATCCGACGGGATGGGGGAAAGGATGAATAGAACGATCAATCGTTATTTGGCGAAAGTGGTCTCGGGACTGGGACCAACACCAACTTCCAGGGCCGAATTTAGCATGCGGCCATGTGGGTACGGGCCCATAGCAGCAAATGTTTAGGGGCGGCAAAAAAACAAATTTGGGAATAAGTTCTACAGTACTATCGTGGAAAAATAACATAACCTCTTATAATAATAATAAATAAAAAATAAATAAAATAAATTTAGGGCTACTTCCGCAATTTTTGTTGTTGAAAACACTTAATTAAGGTGCCCTCTAGCCATTTTAATCAAATTTCATGATCGTACCTGGGCGGCTTAATAACGTCACGTAACTTATATAGATTTTCTGAATTCAATAAAATGGGAATAAATCAGAAACTGTTAAAGATAGCTATAGGAACAGGTAATATCAAAATATACCAATTTCGATTCTCTATCTCATGCAATAGTAAGACCATGGTCATTCCATTTAAAAAAATGAGTTTATAGACTTTGAAGTTTCTTAAATTTGGATCTCCATACGTACGTTAACTTTTTTTTAAGTACACTAAGAGAAAGCCCAATTCATTCTCTACGCACTGATAAAAATGGGCTTCCATGACTATAACCGTTTTCAAGTATTCAATTATCAAGGTACCATCTGCATGCGCCATTTTTTTTCATAAAGTCAAAATAACTTAAAAGCCATAAATGATAGATATCGACATGTGGGTATCAAAAGAACTGAAATTTTACGTAGAATCCAAAAATTCAATAAAAAAAATGCGGGTTGCCATTTAAAATAACGAAGTTACTATCTACTTCCGGTGTTTCCGGAAGTGCGGCCATTTTGAAAATATTTTACATCGATTCGGCCTTCAGAGCAACTCCTAAGTACAAATTTTCAAAAACCTACCTATTTTACTTTCCCAAAAACGTTTAACTAAAGCTCCCAAAAAAACCCTGTATACTACAATCTGAGCAAATCAGGAGAAAGAAAATCGTATTAACATATAAATAGTAAAAAATAATTTTGATCGGGGTATAAAAAGAGGGGGGGGGGCAATTTCGAGGGGGCCATAGGCGCAAAATATGTAAATCCGACTCTGCCTATATCATCTGTTTCTCCTAGCATATCGATCCGCTGTACACGAATCGACGAAACAAAGGCCCTGAAGTGTGATTTTTGATCGGGAATTGCCCTGCGACTTGAATTTTGGCAGCAATCCTGGTGAAGACTTGACGGTTGAAGATTATGTCAACGACCTTAGACCACAACTGGACAGTATTCATAATTTGGTGAGATCATGTCTTCAGAGTGCCAGTGATAGGATGAAACCAAGTTACGATGAGCGAGCTCTAGAAGGAGGGCATAATGCTGATGAGCTGGTATGGTGGTACAATCCCCAAAGGCGGAAGGGTTTATCACCAAAATACAGAACAGAATACTCTCTATAGCCCATTGTGTATCCAGCGACCTTCGAATGTCCCGAGTAATAGTTGATGTATTTAAAAAGAAATTCAGCCGCGGAAGAACTAGAGAAAAACCACCCAAGTGCGGGGAAAAGAACTGCAGGATAACGGACGTGTCGTTTTTTACCTAGTGACGAGAGTACTATCTGTGGACAAACCGGATTATCAGGTGATGTGGAATACCCTGCGAAGATGTTGCGGAGGGGGACACAAAAAGTTGTGGTAAGTATCTAAGTTAGGCTGTACATATGATGGTCTCGATTGGCATTGGCGGAAAGTCAGTCATAGCCGGGGGATAATCCTACGGGAAACCGGTGTCGAAATCCCGGTGTGCATCCAAGACCAGTTGACTGTTTCGTCCCCAAGAGGATATTGCTGTAAAGCTGCACCTTGTCCTTTTCCTTAATAATCCACGGTCCGATGTCTTGGAGTTTCGGGACGGAACAGGTTCTAAGGAGGGGGCAATGTAACGATCAAATGAGTTGACAGTGTGGACAAGTGTTGACATGAAATTAGGAGAATTTTTTTAATTTGTTCGTTTCCTCATAAAGTCCTGTCTCAAACTAGTGATAGAGTGCAGGTTGGTGTTGTTCTCAAAAATCTTCGGCCTAGAGTTCTTGTGGCACTTACCAATCAACAATCTGGTAGTTATCTTTTCCGATTTGCCCCACGATTTACTCCCACTAAACGAGAAGCAGTTGGTGAACGTCCCGAACACATACCAAAACATATTTTCGGCTTCTTCCGGCGTTTCAATCAGGTACCTTAAGGAGTGTCGGTCTGAGAACGACAATGGAAATATAGCGAACAGATACGTTAACGTCAACGTCAGCCACACGCTCCACTGGAACGGACCCATGATTGCTCGCCACCTAAACTAATAACATTCGATAAATTCACAACGACATCAAGTAATCACCTCGGCAGTGCCGTAGACGTTAGCGAAATAAAGGCGGCGCAATCCTGAGAATGTCCATAAGAAACATCTACTTTGTTAATCTTTTCCGCGACCACATACAGTCCCCCAATTCCAATGTCTGCCTTTCGAGTTTCCACCTCCTGCGTCACGGCTTTTCCTATCCTATCGATACACGGTTTACATTTTAAAGCTGTCGCTGATCGAATTACCCGAGTGTTTCCGTGTTGTGCGCCTCTCGTAAGTCCGTGGTAAAGTTGTATTTCTGTGCCAGAAGTCTTATTAGGCGCACCTCTACGCCTTCCCATTTCATGTTGCCCTCCCCATCGGTGTCTCTGCAACAAACAGTTTTGATCCTTCCAGTTGTAGTCGAACGCACCTTTTGATCACGTATGGAGGTTGATGTGCAAGTGCAACGATAAACCGATGCCCCGCAAACCCCTGGCTCATTTTCCGTGGGAATAGATTAAGCTTTGGTCTCGTCAAGGTGCCATTTTTCCACGATGTTAGGACTTGAGCGGCGCTCGAACCTAGTCCGTCCATGTAAAGTTCGTGAGTGTACAAAATGTAGGGCATTTCCTGCAAAGAACTCGGATGGAAAACGAAGGGGGTTGTATAGGTACCTACATACCTCTAACGGTGAAGCGAGCTTATCCGACTTCGCGATGACGAGAAGATTCACAAAGCTTTGTGCAATATCCGACTCCAAAAATTCGTACACTCTCCACTGGGAGGATCTTGCCACGATGATAACTTTGTTAAACGGTTGCGCCCCAATGAGGTCGCGACATTTCATGACGTCTTGCATAAACAGGATGTAGCTCACGCACTTATTCTCAATCGAATTCAGCATTTGCTTAGAGCGTGCCGCCGATCTATTCGTTATTTGGCCATGGATAAATGGAACGGTAAGCTTGTTCAGCAAACTATCAAGTAGCGCATCCTCCACGGTGGTATCGTAAAGAATCACGGGCACGCATCCGTCTAAAAAATCGAGCAGCATCGCAATTAGGTTTACAATCGATTTTGTGTAGTCGAACGCGGTCTTTGTACCCATAATTTCGTCCATCCATTTTTGAGTTTGTGACTTTTCGTGGGACTTTTGTAACGCTCTGGTGCCGCGCCAGTGCGCTCCAAAGCATTGGTGCAGAATCGCTACCAATACAATCAATTCAAGACACTTCATTCTTTACCACGGCGATAGCATCCCCTTCTTATATACGTGTATTTATGATAGAATTTAGTTTTAATTACCTGTCTATATTTATAACGCGCACGTGTACGATTACGATCCCCAAATGTCAGAAGTGCTTTTAAAAAATGCATTTCTCGTCACCACCCTGTAACCCATTGGAAATTCTTCAAAAGCAATAAGAGCGCGCAATAATTTATTACTAAAGGAAACAAACACGCTAACAAAATTGACTTTTGCGTAGTTTAGATGCGACAGTTGCAGAAGGATTTGAATTTAATTGGAGATATACGGGGTGTCCAACCCCCAGTCGAGTGGAAAACTAATCGGAATAGATTTCCAAAAACTTGTGCACTGTTCAATGAGCCCAATTCAGCTAAATAAATGTGCTCATTTCATTATTTATTTTAAATAGGACGCTAAATTTCGACTGATTGTCTAATCATGATCGATTTTTGAATTATTTGGGGTTTTTCGAAGATTCACCCCTTTACAAGATAAATTCCCTTTAGTAATCTAAGCATACTGAGCATTATCTGAGGTGGTCCTTCGTTTTAACAGTTGTTGAGGACATTAGGTGGTAGGACTGCCCCTGATACTTTTGTTCCTTCGAGCACGGATCATTTGGTGGATTAATGCTAATTGTATTTATTGGTTTGATTGATCATGAGTCAACAAGGTGACTATATGGATCGTGTGAGACTTAAAGGAAGAATGCGTTCAGGTATGGTGAATGGATGTATGACATCCCACATAGCATTCGATATTTATTTATTTATTTATTTATACTTTATTAGATAATATTTACAAAGAAATTCTTATCTAAGAGGCGAGGTATCGGTACTAACCGTTTTTCAACCCTACCAAAAATATGAAGCAACTATATGTAAGATTAAGTATACTTACTATAAATGAATGAAATTTAAGTGCAAAAAAAGAAAGAGAAAAAGGAGTATATATTCTGACTACTCAGATATTGGCTTGATTGTTTAACAATTTTAACTTTAACTGCTTTTTGAAGCTCTTAACCGAAGTACAATTTCGATAAATTACTTTGAAGTTATTTAGGAGTTTACAAGCTATGTACTGAAATCCACATTGGAATTTACTACTTTTGTGGGGTGGAATACAATAAGAATCAGCATATCTAAGGGTTTTTTTGTGTACCGAGTGTGTTTGAGTAAGCAATGTAGACAGATAAGATGGGCAATCTGAAATCTAATTTAAGTAACTTTTGTACATTATACTGTGGTGTGACATGGTCCCTGCGATTCACATTAAATGAGAATCTAAAACAGTTGTTTTGGAGAACCTGAAGTTTGTGCTTGTATTCATTTGTTAAATAGTTGTAGTATACAGCAGAACAGTAATCTACATGACTAAGTAATAGACTATTTACAATATGCCATTTAGTGCTAAGATGCGTTTAACTTGAAATAACACTTTAAATTTTGCGTAGCAGATAGATATTTTTTTCCGCACAAAAGATTTCAAAGAAAGGTTACAGTCAATCACTACACCAAGGCTTTTAACTTCTTCAGATAGTGGCACTTCACTGTCGTTTAATTTAATTTTGTTGCACAGAGTTGAAAGGGCTAGAGCACGCACAGCGTTGGAACCTATGCATACCGCCTCTGTTTCAGATGCATTAATTAATAGACCGTTATCTTTTGACCATTGAGATATACGTTGTAAATTAGTATTTAGTTTATCAATAGCTTCATTAATACATAAAGGATTACAGCTGATATACATTTGTGTGTCGTCGGCATAGAGATGCAGGCTTATTTCAGATGTCGTGTGGTAGGGTAGATCCGCAGTAAAAATTATGTATAAAATGGGTCCAAGAATACTCCCTTGCGGCACCCCTTGGTTAACCGGCAACATATCAGATAGAACTGAGTCAATTTTCACTCGTTAATTTCGGTTATGTAGGTAATTATAAAACCAAGTTATCACTTTGTCGCTACAATTGTAGTATTTCAGTTTTGCAAGTAGTAGTTCAAAGTTAATGCACTCACATGCCTTGCTGTAGTCTAATAGGGTCAGGATTGACACTTTGGAGTTGTCGATAGCACTAGTGATTTTTAAAAGTGCGGTTGTGGTACTGTGATTTTTCCTAAACCCGCACTGTATAGTAGGAAGAATGCCATATCGATCGATGTGAGCTACTAGCTTATTGGAAACAACTATTTCAAGTATTTTTGGAGGTCACTGGCAAAATGCTAATAGTCCGGAGCTGATTAAGTTCTACTGCTCTAGAACCTTTCGAGAGAGGACGAATATATGATGTCTTCCACAAATTTGGAAATGTGCCAGTCTTTAATGAGAAATTGATTATGTGTCGAAGGGCTTCTTTTCAAAAGGGGTAAATTAAATGAAGCATTTTCAAGCTTATATTATCAGCGCCAACAGCATTCGATTTTATTTTGTTCAGTGCTATTGTAATATCCTCATTGGTAACTTCGGAAAATATCATCGCTTGCTCTATTCCTGGTCGAATATTGTTGTTATAAAAAGGCAGAGCAATTTCTCTATTTATTTCAGCAATGGGCATGTTTGCAAAAAAATTGTTTATTAGATTGGGATCAAGCAGGATGGGATCAATAACATTTTGTTTTTTATTATGGATGTTCCAAGTTGAAAATAAACTCCAGATCTTCTTGGGGTTGCCTTTATTGATACGTAGTTGGGTGTTAATGTACGCCGTTTTCTCCTGTCTTGTTGCAAATGATAGGTAGTTGCTAAGATCTTTGTAATATAGCTTATCTTGTTGAGCTCCTGATTTACGAAATTTTGTGAATGCTTTCCTTTTTAAACGAATTATTTCTTTTATCGTATCAGTAATATAGGGTTTGGGACTCTTATTTCGTAAATGAATTGTACGTAGAGGTGCATGAATATCATAAACAGCAAGAATTGCGTTATTAAAAAAAATTACCTTGGTATCAATATAGGTTATATACATGATTCCAGCAGATGCGAGCAGCGTCATATTCAAATTCTTCAAGAATAAAGTTTCTAAAATCTCTCATAATGAGTTTCCTATTTGTTGGTTTTTCGACATCAAGATCAATTGTACAATGCACCAATCGATGGTCGGAAATATTTTCAGCATCCATCGTACCACTGTTAAGGACCTTTCGTGTTTTGTTCACACAAATAACATCAACTAATGTTGAAAATGTATTTGTAATTCGCGTAGGATCGCTAATAATTTGATGTAGGTTATAAATCTCGAGAATGTTATTGTGAAGTATGGGTTTCTGACCGTTCCTCGCAATGTATCAAGTTACGAGGCGGCAAACCATATGTTTTAAATAAATGTATCAAGTTACGTAGGGGCGGTAAACCTTCTGTAAGTTACCGAAAGGTCCTTAGAAAATTCAGCATTCTTATACAGCATCTTGTATCACAAGCATCACGATAATAAACTGAAAATCCATCTGAGTTTTATTCTTATTCGGTCCGGATCAAAGATTAATACATAACATTGGCGACGAGATAAAGTGGCAGTGTGTTAAATACGAACATTTAATACAGCGGGTGTGAAGTAACCAGTGGCGGAAGTTTATTATAAACGATATTTGTGTTTTATTGAAAATGGCGGCTTTAATTGGGGTGATTGAGCGATTCAATCATGCAGGGCAGGATTGGACCATTTACCAGGAGAGGCTCGATCAATTCTTAGCAGCTAATGGAATACAAGATACGGAAGGATCAAAAAACGATGTGCGGTTCTAATTAGTCAACTTACAGCAGATACATACAATTTGTTAAGAGACTTATCGTATCCGAACAAACAGAGTGACAAAAGTTACACAGAATTATGTGAAATCATGACTAAACATTTTAGTCCGAAGATTTCAGTTTTTCGGGAACGCGCAGGGTTTTATTCTTATTCGGTCCGGATCAAAGATTAATACATAACAGTTATTAAGGTATTTTAAACTGTTGTTATTTGTTAAAAAATCCACATTGATATCACCTAGTAGAATAATCTCATTCGACTCCAAAGCTAAGTGAGATAACGTAAGTTCTAATTCGTTGAGATGTGTCGTAGATACGTTCGGTGGCTTGTATACGACTCCAACTGCAACCTTTATTTTAGTTATCGTGATAGAAATCCAAAGTTGCTCAATGCTATTCTCATTATCTGGTAAGAAGTTTAAGTTAATAATTTTCAATTTTAGGTGTGATTTAATGTAGAACTCAAGAAAGTCCTTGTTGAGTTGAATCAGGACTGGATTTCGCCTGCTGTGACTATGAAGGGAACTGAATGGTCCGTTACTCCTCCAGCCAGTCCCCACCTGGGTGGAAGGCGGGAAGTACTGAAAACCGTAATGGTAGAAGTGGAGCGTACGTATGCGTCAAACAACCCTGGAGATGTGCAGTGCATTATTCAAAATCACTTGTAAATTGGAACGGAGTTATTGATTGGAGAGCCAGGAAAATGGTCCATAGTGACATGTTGAGAGCTCAATGGCGTCGAGCTCAACTCCTTGCTACGCATTTTTGGAATAGAGTTCTTCGCCTCCTTCTCGAACCGGTAGTGGTACCAACCCGTGTCAGATTCCCTTTTGGAGTTCGGCGAACTCTGTACGGCGTGAATTGTGTGGGAGTTGGTGGAGTTGTTGGCATCGGCGAGGCAGCTTCAGAGAGAGATGGTTTCGACTGCACCGCTAGGATGCGGATCAGAATAGTTTCATCTGAACTCGGTGTACTTCCAATCGCGTCGAGACATCTTGCGTTCAATTGTTGCCGGGCATCTTGGATCACGTTGGATGCACCAGTTTTGATGGTTTTCGTTGTATGCGTGTTCGTTTATTCTTTTTATATTACAGTTATATGTACAGTGGTATTCATTACGAAGTAGACATAGGGATTTATGTGTAAAGTTTTTCCCTATGTCTACTTTTAAATGACAAAATCTCTTTTGAGGGAGCGCCTAATTTTATGCATCCAAAATAACTTCTTAAAACAAATAAAGATCTGGCTGTCATATTAATTAATTTGAATATTGTTGCTTTGGGTTCACAAAAAATAAATCTCTACCGGCACCATACCAATTGGAAATATCAACTTCCTCTTCATTTGAATACATCGCACACGAACGAAAATAAAAATATGGAAGAGAATGCAATAATATTAAAATTAATTAATATGACAGCCAGAGTTTTATTTTTTTTAGAAGTTATTTTGTTTGCATAAAATGAGGCGTCTTTCAGAAGTGATTTTGTCATATAAAAGTAGACATAGGGAAAAACAATACATATAAATTCCTATGTTAATAAATATCATTCTTTTCAGGTTACGTATTGAGATACCCCAACCTTAGCAACGTCCTGTGAATATGATTGTCGATACGAAGCACCCTTACATCATGTTACCCAGCAAACATACAAGTGGCGGCCGACTTATGGGAAACTTCCGGCACTGATGGTAGAGTGCTGGCATAATAAATCCTGCACTGGCCCTGTGCAGGTTAATTATCATATTTTGATGAAATTTTAGCCATGCAACAATCTGCGACGGGCCATTGACCAGCAGCCGGACCTTGTTGAATCACGTGATTCGTTAGCGATTGTAGCGCCATTGCCATACGCCATTGCGCAGTGTTTTGTAACGTGATTGTTTTCTTATCATTATTTATTATTTTAGTTGACTCATGAATGAAAAAATGGAAATCAAACAGTAAGTATCGTTTATTCGTTTACTTTCTTTCGTTATAAGTAGTATAAGGTATAAAACATAATATTTATTTATTCCCATATGACATAACCTCAGATTCCTTGAATTGTGTATAGCTTATAACATTTTCCCGGTATTTTCTTTGGCATACGTAATACCAGTAAAGTCGTTAGGTAATGTAGGTACGAGTGTAAATCCGAATTTGTTTTTATAGTGACAATTCAACTCATGTATAAAAAATCGCATAAGCCGCAGTGAAATTGTCACTTTGACAGCGGCAAAAGTTACCTGCAACTTTTCCAGCGACAAATGCACTAGTGGTTTTTTCACTTATTCATTTTCGAACCAATTATCGCATTATCCTTTCCCATATGACTAGTTTGACGTCTGTCAATAATTGATTAGTTTGGTGAATTTCTTGTTCGTTAAATTGTCCTGCCGAATTACACTCGAGGTTTGTATTTAAACCGAGTAAATTTGGGTTGTGGCAATTCAAATCTGTTTCCTTTTAGCAATTGGACTCGAAAAACTGTCAACCTAAAAATGCTCCACCTGCGGTGTCGCATTTTTATTAGTTGACAGTTTTTCTCGTCTAATTGCTAGGCAACAGATTTTCATTACCTAAACAACCCAAATTTACTCGGTAAAATACAAACCTCTTGTGCAATTATAAGTGACAATAGCTCGTTTGTATAAGAATGTCACGGCAACCTGTATTTAAGAAACGCAGTGAACGACAAGAGTATCGCAATATCAGAAAAAAAGTGGTGGACACGATAGAATTGTCAGTTTTAGAACATCCTCCGAGTACATCTACTTCATTTTCAAATAGCGGGTGATGAAAAATGGAGAACAGTTTCTACAATTGAAGAATTAAAGGAACTGAATAAAAAATTAAATTCGGCCGAGAATATGACTGAGGCAGTAAGTAAAACAGTATTAAATGAATGCTATTCTAATGTATAAATTTCAGATTAAGACACTACAACTGATTGGGGGGAAAGATTTATCCGACACTTGTAAAAGAGTGTTGGGTAAAATTCTTTCAAACGAAGTTGCTGTGGCAATGAACTGGTCGGGGCGCAATCAAAAAGAAGGCTTTGTCCATTTCTTAGATTAGGAAAGAGTATGGATACCGCGTATGCCATACAGCCCGTGTATGAATCGTGTTACCTTTTTAAACAAGTCCGCCATTTTATATGTGGCACATATGTCATTAAAGTAACATCGTTTTTTACGAGTTTTTGCGCTTAAATTGAGAGGAAATACACAAACAACAACTTAAAATCATGGTGAAATGTGCATATTGTGGATGCAAAAGCCGGAGTGAGAAGGAGGAACCGGGAATTTCATTTCAAACGTAAATATTGAAAATGTGCCTAATGCCGTTACCACGTATTTTCCTATTTTTCCTCATAAAGTTCTTTCTTTGAATATTCTTCTTTTAATATGTTAAAATTCATAGCTTAATGAGCGACTTGACTTAATTTCTTACAACAGGACCAATCCCATGCATTCAAATTTTGATAACAAACGTCTTCAAGGACGGAATTATTCAATAAACTCCATAGACGTAGTCATTAGCACTCCGCGTTTTTCAAAGAGAAAATTGGTACGGAAACGGCTTTACGTGAAAAATCAAACAGAAAGCAATGAAGATTCTTATTTTATCACAGTCTTTAGCTGGAGGGACAGTTAGTTTTGAAGGCATTTTCGAAAAAAGATGAGAGGAAGTTTCGTTTATACCCGTGTCTGATTAATAAATAGCGCAACGCACGAATTTCATTCGTATGTTCAACTTCAACGTGATTTATTAGCTATAATAGGTGCTTCTGCCACTATTCGCATTTACGGATGCTACGACACTGGCCAATGTCAATATGTGGCAGCTGGTAACACTACCGCTAGTGAATTATGCGTCCATATTCTTTCCTTGTCTAAGGTCCATTTGAATAACATTGTGAACTTAGTTCTTGGTAATTTCTTTTTCCTATCATACAAATTACATATCAAAAATGAGTGCCTGTCAAGCCACCTTTGGAATTTTTATTTACATGGGGAATAAGATTTAACTTCCAAAGACCTCTCAACAGCAACTCATTTTTGATCGATTGTTTTTGCAGTAAGTTGTATTTATAATACAAATTGTTGTTGTAGTCACTGTACGGAAAAACCCCTTGTGCAGAGACACAAATAAACAAGAAGTGGAAAATTCCATAAAAATTTGGCTACGTAATGCGAGTGATCGGGATGGTGGTCGCAACAAACGTATGAGAAGAACTGAATAAAAATTATGATGTTAATACTTGTTACCTAATGTGATATTTATTTTTATTTATTTAGAAAATTCTGTTGTTTTGTGCATATCTATGTATATATTTTTCGAATGCCAAATTTATGTTTTTATATGCGTAATATCCATAATGTGATATTTATTTTTGTTAATTTAGAAAATTCTGTTGTTTTGTGCATATGTATGTATATATTTATTGAATACTAAATTTATATTTTTATATGCGTAATTTCATATTTCAATTGAGCACGAGAAGGAGCGGCCATCGCTGGCCATGCATTTAATTTTTGGTGTGGAAGACCACTGGCCCAGTGTCAATAAAGTTAAGGCAACATGCAAATCAACCATCAGTTGGCCAACTGATGGCCAGACTGACATTTGTGCGCTGGCCCAGTGCCATTTGCCATTGCTGGCCCATTAAATTTAGTGCAGGGAGTACGTTACATTCCCAGTAATGGCCCTTAAATAAATGTTTGCTGGGTAGTTACACAAGCTGCCAACCGAAATCTGGTGAGATTACAGAAAAGGGAAAGAGAGCCAAGATGAGACGGATGGAATTTCTCGGAAAACCACGCGTTTACCATTTCAAACACCTGCAGTCCAGTTTTTTCCGACATGCGTGAAATGCAGGGAATGGTTTTTAGGGGTGTTAAGAGATCAAGTTACCGCGTCGCTTGGGGTAGTCAATAAATACGATTTAACATGTGTGTTCATGGTTTTTTTCTTGTAACCGGCTTAAGTGTAAAGTACGGCTTATCTTGACATATTTTGTTATACCTTAATCATTGGTGTGGTATTTGCTTTATTCAATTAATCCATAAATGTGTTTAACTTGAATGCAGATTGTAACCCTTTACTTATGTAGTTGCTGGATTCAATCACTTGTACCTCTAATGTGTAACCTTTGTTGGTATTGGCAATCATGTTTCATTGTCGGTAGGGCTGTCTCTGTATTGTACATATTTGCATGTGTCCCACTATTTGCGCATCGTGCTTTTTAGCCACTCTCAATTGTTTCATTGCATCCCATTATATGTGTTTATTTGGGCTGTCAGTAATCAAGAGGGAAGTGTGCTTGTTTAGAGGGGATCGAGTTATTCAAGTTTATACGGGGCTTGGTGAACCTAACACTAACATTTTCACTCGTTCCGAAACCCAACAACTTTAGCCCACGTCTACAGGCACCCCACTGGGCCTGGGTAATCCTACCGCCCGGCGAAGCATATTTAATATCTCTTAGTTTTGTGTTGTAATACCTGGGGAATGGCTCGATTCCATTTTGGTTATGTAGTATTTACCCCGGTTTCGAGAGGGCTCAAAAGTGCTGTACATTAGATGTTAGCTGTAGGCTTTGTTCATTATAGAACTACTCCGAATTAGGTTTTCCTGCAGTTTTCCTAATTCGTAAGGCCCTCTTAAGGCCCTCTGCAGGGGCGCCGTATTGGTATTGGTATTAGCTTCAATATAATCTTAATCAACCATTGCTTTTGGTGTTCCTTACCCATAAAATGCCCTCAGTGCCTGGTTAGAACTCAGTTACTACACAACGTAGGTGTCTTAGATGACGATCACGATCTTAGTGCAGATTCTCGTGGGAAATGTAAGCGATAATATTCAAATAGGTAGCCATGTTAGTTTGGCGTTCCCGCTACTACAGAATATGGTCAAATATTCCGGTGTGACTTGAAGTTGGCGTTAGCCGCCAAGATACTAGGAGGCTAAGATCGTTACAGTATAGTGCTTCTTCTGTTCTTTGCGCGGCTGAAATCGTTTAGTGGCCCCTACTATTATAGCCGTGGACTTTCCGCCAGGCTATTAGGTAACGCTGGACCTTAGTAGTAGGCTATGCGTTCCGCTGCTCCATTCCTTCTCTACTATTGGAGAGCCGGGTTGGAATGAATCAGTCAATAAATCAAACAATCAAAATACGTTTATTACAATTTATGGGTATAATACAATAATGGGGTTAGTGGTAAATGAACGCGGACTTGTGTCCTTCAGCCCTTGGTTAGTAGATGATTTATGATCTTTGTCTAGGCTAGCCAATTATGTGCAGCTATCAGCTCGTGTTCTTGGTGCGTTGCAGGTCGTCGTCATAGGGGTGAAGTTCGCGTTCCGTCTTGGACTGGTGATGGTAGTGGTTGCAGTTGGATTCCGGTTCGCGCGTCCTTATCTGAAAAGGAAGAAAAAGAAAGCAGTATAATTGTTTCTTTTTAGTATTTTGGTGTGGTTTACGTTACCAGATGGTGAAAGAGTCGCTGTCTAGGAGTTCCTCGGATTCCTGGAGTGGATCTTCGAGTGTAGTTGGGTTAGAGTAGATGAGGAAATTTGAATTTCTTTTTAGGTTTTCGGGGAAGGGGTCCTCCTGTGGCAGATTTATTACAAGGGATCTTTAGCATTTCTTTAATCTTTATCGCCGCGAGCGTGCTTATAAAGATCATGGCGTAGGCGTGGAACTCCCCAGACCCCATCTCTTCCTCACGGAACTGGTCTTTTCCACTCGTGCTGTTGCGTATTGCAACGGCTGCTGTGAGATGTCACCACATGCAGTCTAAACTATAAAGAGTCACCCCACGCAAGGGAAGCGTATGCAAATTGCAAAAGAAGTTTTTGGCCGACTAGCTGATAATGAAATACATTTTTTGACTGTGATATAAAAACGGAATTTTTCCAAGTCTAAAAAGGGTAAAGTTAGAGGTGTCGCTCCATAGAACTAACGCGTCCTTCGTGTTTTCTCTATACTCTGCTTACTTTATTATTGTACATAGCAGCCATTAATTACACTTTTTTAATTAAAGGCGACAGAACAAGTTTTTACAATAAATCTTTAAGTTCATCGTATAAAACTAATACCAATGCGCCCCCCATACCCCGAATAACATTGGAAAAAGCGCCCTTGAAGAAAGCGCCAATTCCTTCTTGTCTAAAAATCTTTATCCAACAGTCCGCAGTGTTTTTATACAAAAGATCGCCTTTAGCTCGCCCCGATTGCATCATCATTCGCCTTCTGACTGTGTCAAAAGGATACGACGTTATTCCAGCAAAGGTCGTAACCGCCTAACAAAGAACGTTACTTCCACTTGCACTACACATATTTAATCGTACCTGAGCAATACCAAAAGTTACCAAAAATGGGGTGGTTTTCGGATCAGGCAACATTCCCTTTGCGGTATCGAAACAACCGAAATACGTCGCACGATAGATAATGATCCCTTGAACAGATACCACAAAACCTCTATACATTCCTATTAAACCATCGCTCTTCATGGTCTTCATGAGGCAGTCCATAAGTCCGCTGTACAACCTAGTTTTGCCTCCTCCTACATCAGCGGCTAATCTATGAATTTATTCAAACATAAAACGACACTTTAATAGACGAACCTGGTTCTGGCATAATCGAGCGGATATACAAAACACAAAGATGTAGCTCCAGCCGCACCTCCCGACGCTAAATTCCCCATAAAATATCTCCAAAACTGAGTCTTTTTGTTAATGCCGCTCAAAAACATGTTCTGATAAATGTCCTTAAACGCAAAGTTGAGCGCCTGAGTTGGAAAGTACCGTACAACGTTTGCGAGGTTTCCACGCCAAAAACTAGTGAAACCTTGCTCCTTCGGTATGCGCAAAAAGCAGTCGACCATTCCTACAGAAATCATGATAGGCGCTATAAAGCGTACTTATTTCGAACCTTTGTATCGCTTGTCTTCGGGGATTTGTTTTGAGACTGCTTGCACTTGCAGCAGTAGTTTCACACGTTCGATCGGCGCCACGACAGTCTTGGATACGGCGGCCGAGATTCCTCCCGCGAGGAAATCTTTGAGAAATTTGTTAGTCTCGGCTGACATTTTGAATTTTTTAGAAGGATAATTTGGACTGACAAGTTCGTATTTTATCGTAAACGTCAATTATTTCACAAATTCAGACGGAATGAACATGAGAGTTGTTACTGTAGTAACGTCACCATGAGCTTGTATTATTTATCTCCACATTTTCCCAAATGAAAAAAGCGGATATGGTAGAACACTGTCCGTCCGTCCCTCGAACTATTTTTGACTGAAGAATGTAATGATCTTAGCCTCCTACTATCTTTGCGGTCTAACGCCACCTTCAAGTCACACCGGAATGATTGACCATATCCTGTAGTAGCGGGACCGCCAAACTAACATGGCTACCTATTTGAATATTCTCGCTTACATTTCCCGCGAGAATCTATCACTCGGGGGCCACTCCGAGTGCACTAAGATCGTGATCGTCATGTAGGACACCTACGTTGTGTAATAACTGGGTTCTCAGCAGGCACTGAGGGCGTTTTATGGGTAAGGAACACCAAAAGCAATGGTTGATTAAGATTATATTGAAGCTAATACCAATACCAATACGGCCCCTGCAGAGGGTCTTAAGTGGTTCTATACTACTCCGGCATTTGCCTTACGAATTAGAAAAACTGCAGGAAAACCTAATTTGGAGTAGTCCTATAATGAACAAAGCCTACAGCTAACATCTACTGTGCAGCACTTTTGAACCCTCTCGAAACCGGGGTAAATACTACATACACGCTATGAGTAACCAAAATGGAATCTAGCCATTCCCCAGGTATTACAACACATACATCAGACAAAACTAAGAGGTATTAAATATGCCTCGCCGGACGGTAGGATTACCCAGCCCCAGTGGGGTGCCTGTAGACGTGGCCTAAAGTTGTTGGGTTTCGGAACGCGTGAAAATGTTAGTTTCAAGGCTCGTATAAACTTGAATAACTCGATCCCCTCTCTCTTGACTACTCACAGCCCCATATAATCCAATATAAGTGAATGCAATGAAATAATCGAGAGTGACTAAAAAGCACACTACACAAATAAGTACGCATGCAAGTATTACAGCACAGATACAGCCCTACCGACAATGAAACAGTGATTGAATCCAGTAAGTACATAAGTAAAGGGTTACAATCTGCATTCAGGTTACACACTGTTGAAGCCGTTGAATAAATTTCAGTTTAAAATAGTTTATTTTCTTTTTGTAAGTATGCATACATTGATTTTAATTTTAGTTTGGGAAATTTTGGGTGATAACATTTTCAATTCAATAGTTTTGTTGTTGGTAAAGTTCTGTTGCGTGTGAGGTGTATCTATCTACAGCGTCGTCATTAAGAATTAATCGTTCACCTATCGGTCAAACAATTAAATACTAGCCATTCCGTTCTTTCCTTTACCTCGCCATATTCTCCTTGTAACAGAAGAAAAAAAGAAAAATAGCGATTGAACGACGACAGGTGAGTGCGATTTTTTTTCCTATTTCAATTAACTAAAACGCACACATTTATAGATTAATTGAATAAAGCAAATACCTCACCTGATATAAAAAGCAAAAGCACACAGCCATGATTAAGATATAACAAAATATTTCAAGATAAGCCGTACTTTACACTTAAGCCGGTTACCAGAAAAAGGCCATGGACTACCCCAAGCGACTCGGTAATTTGATCTCTTAAGGGGGCTAGGGATAGTGGATAGGCAACACACAATGGTCACTGAAATTTGAAATAAAAGTCGAAACTTTTGAGTAATTTTGAAAGCCCAAATATTAATTCTTTTCTAACTAGAGGTCTTATCGGAAATTGATAGAGATATAGAAAGTCATTAAATGTAGCGATTTATTTTTTTGATAAAATTATTTAAGTCGTGTATAAATGATAATCTTGAATTTACTAAGAACGCGAATACTGGCCTTAGTAAAAAAAATATTTAAAAAGTAAATCCGCACAATTTATTTAGTAACTAAGTGGATTAAAAAAATATATTACGAACTGCTTCATATTATGAAATAAAACGTAATTTTTACTCAAAAGTTTATATAAAAAAAATATAGCGACGGAAGAAATGCAATACCTTCCATACAATGACGATAGGCAACTCAGGTAGCACTTTTACCTGGAAAATATTAACACCTAATACCCATTATACTTATATACAATGGTTTATGACCCTTATTAGACCAGTAACAAAAGAATCTCAATGCCTTCCATTTATTCGTCTATTAGTACCAACGATAATTGACCGATAATTAAAAAAATATTGTACGTCAATAAATGTAATATTCAGGAGTAACAACGTTTTAATTTTTTAGACCCGTTTCATACATTTTTTTCATACATTTGATGTAGGTGTATTGTTACCTACTTATCAAAAAGCAATTTAATAATATCGATTACATAAAAATTATGTACAATTTGGACGATGTACCTATTATAGATAAACATAACGAATTGTTTGTTGTCGGCACCTTCTTGAATCTAGCAGCTCTGTTAAAAAACTGTTCATACAAAAATTGATAATCTTGTGTCTTACATACTTTAGGTGACAAATCTCAACGAAAATTTCAACCAGCAATTTTGTCCACCAATGAAATGCGGATTTCGTGTCACATTTCCATGGCAACCAAGGAATTTATCGTCAATTTTTTGATGTAAAAAGGTAATAATGTTTTGACCTAAAACGTCACTTTTTCGTTGAGGGTCACTATGGTGTGAAATTTTCTTACCGAATACCACAGTGCTTGAATAGAATTTTTTTCTTGCTCACGAATATTTTGCGAAAGTTCAAATATTTGTGAGCTCGAAAAGTTTCCGGAAATAGCAAGCATTACAAGTGATAACTTTTTATTTCAGCATGTCGTTAGTAAAAAATTGTCAAAGTCCTCGTGTGAGATCTTGTCGAAGCTACCACATTCCCTTCGTCGGTACTCGCATCCGACGTCCCGTGCATCTCCAATTTGCGTTTGAAGTTTTACTCCACCATCAGTAAGATCTTAGTGGGGGCCACCACATTCCCTTTCTCGGTACCCACTTCCGACGTCTCGCTCACCCGCAATTCGAGTTTAAAGTTTTTACTCACCATCAGTTTTCAGATTGTTTTCAAAATGGTGCCGTTGGAAAGATCTTGTAAACGGACACAATAACTGCGTGGCGAAAATTTGTTTTTTTCCTGGGTTAACCTCATTTTACAAGGCGCACGTCTGCGAGGGGTAGTTGACTTAGGAATTGGGTACCGACAAAGGGAATGTGTTAGCTTGCGATAAGATCTTTTTGATGGTGGCTAATACAATACTGATCTGCCACACAAAAATGCGCTGATCTCTCTTCGATCCCACACGAGGACTTTGATAATTTTTTAATCTACCTATGCTTTTGGTAATTCCACTGTAGGTTTGACGGCTAGCCAAATAAACTATTTTCGTAAACCATCAGGCGAATGGCGTGTTGGAATTGGAAAATTTCCGAAAATCTATTAAAACATTTTTTGTAATGAAAAATGAGTCATTTATTTTGTTGTAAATTAGATCAGAATTCAGATATATAATTTGATAAATGGGGGAAGGTTGAAAACGCAGGAAATACCGGGCTACATTGCGGAAGCCATGCGAAATATCGAAAACTGTTCATCTAATTGAAGAAAAATACCATTCTTACATCCGCGCACCTGTGAAAATCGTTATCATAATATAAGAAATCTATGGGGCCGTAGTTTGATCGGTTGTGATAATTGTTTAAATAAATTTGTGCTATGACCCACAAAAATTGAACACCAGTTTTTCTTGTTTCGGAAATTGTTCCCTTCATTACCCAAGTCCAAATCTCAAAAAGTCATTATTGTAAATCCCTATATAGGAAGTAAGTAGGAATGATATCTTAGAAAGTAATACATTAGTAATATTTTTATATAGGTATGTAGAGCTTTCAGCTTTGATTTCCTATTCTATATTCAAAGGTTTCCAGTATTAGTAAAACTATAAAACATCAGGAGAAAGTTAAAATTCCATAAATCAGTTACTTTTGTTGAATAGCCGATAATGAGGGTCTGGAATCTGGTTTTATTGTAGGAAGATGAGGTCATTTGCAGGTAGCTTACTTATGCCTGGTGAAACTTGTCGAATTGCACGATTGGTTGCCTATATAATTATTTGCGTAGGCGCAGCTTAAATTTTGAATGGCCTGTCCCTAGCCGCCTTAACACCCCTAACAACCACTCGAAATCGAAAATCGCCCATTCCCTACATTTCACGCATTTCTAGGAAAAAAAACTGGAGTGCAGGTGTTTGAAATGGTAAACACATGTGGTGAAGGTGGTATGGGAAACTGTATTCCATTAGAACAATTTAATATTTTAAATGTTCCTTCAAGTAATTCCGTGAGCGTTATTAACAATGATGTAATGTGTAATGAAGAAGTTAGTGACACTAAAAATTGTGATCATGATTATGAGATCTTACAAGGCCAGGCTATAATGAAACTTACTGAATATTCACAAGAAGTTGTAACTTATATCAGTGGCTTTGTCAGCTATAAATTAAGTACTTATAATTGTTTAAAATGTGAAACTTGTATTAATAATTTAATAGGCGAAAAAAAATTTTAATTATGGACTAACTACCTTTAAAGACAAAGGTGGATTAACGTATCCAAGTACAGACACTATAAAGCTTTGTATGTACACTGAAAAGGTGATCAAATCACTGTGTGGTGCAAAAATTAACAAATTGTTAGTATTAAGTAAGAGGCCGCTTGACATGGAGCAATACAACGCGCAAGAACTTGCAGAAAGAAATTGCAAGGTCAAATCCTTGCATGCAGCATTGCATGGTATTTGACATGGTGCAATTCTATTTCAATTGCCACATGTCTGCCAACAGAAGAATCATATGGATTTGTCAACAAAGTTGTTAACCTCAAATGAAAATTAAATTTTGATTGCTTGAAGAAACATGAAAATTACAAGAATAAATAAGATTAGTAAAAACAAGTAATGAGTGCGTCTCTCAGCATCACAGTTGCCGCCGCTGTATTTTACTAGGTTGGTGCCACAAAAACAACTAGATTTATCCCTAGAATTGCACGATTCATGCAAGAAAAATAGCACCGGTCCTATAAAAATTGCATGCAAGTCTCTTGCAGCAATTGATCAGCTGGCTTTGAACTGCGCATGCCTTTCGCAATTTTTCTTGCAACTTGCATGCAATTGCAATTTTTATTGCTCCATGTCATGCGGGCTTAATGAGTTATTTTGTTTGTAATCCTTTGTTCACGTCAAGTCCTTGTGAGTACAATCACAATTACCAATTGGCAAAATCTGTAGCCAATGTGTATTTGAACTTAAGAATAAGGTATATAACCAAGATGAAAACACAACAAGAGACTTGTATATTTCTATATTTTTTATGACCCTTTTGTAATCATTTTGTGGACGCCTATGGTTAACAGGAAATCAAATTCGCCATTTGACACCACTTTTGCTTGATGTATTAAACTATAACAAGCACTCCTTCCTCTGGCTTCTTTATTCAAAGATTGTTACCATTTGTTTATTTTTATTTTTTTATTAATAAAACAATGTTACAACCAAATAATTTACTGGTGGCAGAACAAATTCTGTTAACTCAAGAAAGTAAGTGATGTCTGGTTGCCCTAGGCTCTCGCCTTGTATTTGATTTTTAACACATTTATGTATAACATAACATTGTTAGGTATGAATGTAGTCAATGGAGATAATGATACACTACTCATTAAAATCGAACCAAAACAAGAAGAAGAAATCAATTCCATTCTTCAGGGACACATTTCAGTAACTAACGAAGTTTCGGTGACAATAAAGGACGAAATTACCATTAGTACACCTTGTTCTAAATCTGTTTATAATGAACAAGTACAGCAACACTCTGACTTTCAACGTCACCTTTTAACTCCGTGCAAAACAGTGTCGAAGGATTTTAAATGTGCTCATTGTGATTACAAGACAAACAAGAAATATTCCTTTAACAAACACCTTTTAATACATAAACTTTCTAAAGATTTGAAATGTGATCATTGTGATTATAAGACAAATTTTAAATCCCACCTTAAACGGCACTTTTTAACACATAAAGTTTATAGCTCGGTTTCTAAGGATTTTAAATGTGCAAATTGTGATTATGGGACAAATAATAAAGGCAACTTTAAACAACATCTTCTAAAACACAAAGTGTGTAAAGTTTTTAGCTGTGCTGATTGTGGTTATGGGACTAATGTTAAAAGTAACATCAAACAACATCTTTTAAATCATAAAATTTCTAAAGATTTTAAATGTGCTGCTTGTGGTTATGGAACAAATGCTAAATACAACTTCATACGACACAGGTTGATACATAAAGTTTCTAAGGATTTTAAATGTGCTAGTTGTAATTACGAAACAAATGATAAATACTACTTCAAACAACATCTTTTGAAACATAAAGCTTCTATGGATTTTAAATGTGGTAATTGTGATTATGAGACAAACAATAAAACTAACTTTAACCACCACCTTTCAACGCATAAAGTTTCTAAGGCTTTTAAATGTGCTCATTGTGATTATGATACAAATTTTAAATCCCATCTTAAACGACACCTCAAACGGCACCTTTTAACACATACAGGTTCTAAGGATATTAAATGTGTTATTTGTAATTATGAGACAAACGATAAATTTAACTGGAACAGACACCTTTTAACACATAGAGTTTCTAAGGATTTTAAATGTGCCAACTGTGATTATGCGACAAATCATAAAGGCAACTTCGCACAACACCTTTTAACACATAAAGTTTCTAAGGATTTTAAGTGTGATACTTGTGATTATGGGACAAATGTTAAACGCTACTTCAAACGACATTTTTTAAAACATAAAGAGTCTAAGGATTTTAAATGTGCTAATTGTGATTATGAAACAAATGATAAACGCTACTTCAAACAACATCTTTTGAAACATAAAGCTTCTAAGGATTTTAAATGTGCTCATTGTGATTATGATACAAATTTTAAATCCCATCTTAAACAACACCTCAAACGGCGCCTTTTAACACATAGTTAAGGATATTAAATGTTAAATGCAACTTAAAATGACATATTTTATTGTTATTTATGTATTAAGGGCATACTATAGTAGTGTTGTTTATATTCTCGAGGGTGACGAGTTAAAATGCTCGAGAATTTGACTCCCTCGCCCCTGAAGCGGCTTCAGTTCGTAAATATTCCTGGAGAAATAATAGCTATCATTATTGACTTGTGATATAATTTACTATTTTAAAACAAATAAACATCTGGCTGTCATATTAATTAGTTTGTATTGTTGCTTTGGCTTATAACATAAATCTCTTACACTTCTTAAACTGTTACCGGCACCAGCACTTGACGTATCCCATGTCTTCTGTATAAAGCCAGTTGGACAAGAAATATTATTATACAAATTGAGAACTTTTTCTTAATCTGAACACATCACACACAAACGAAAATAAAAATAGGGAAGCCAAAGCAATTATCTCAATGGCAGCAATATTCAAATTAGCGAGATCTTTATTTGTTTTAAGAAGTTATTTTGGTTGCATAAAATTAGGCGCCCTTCAGAAGCGATTTTGTCATTTAAAAGTAGACATGTCTACTTCTTAATAAATAGCACTGTATATGTGGGTATTGGGTAATCCACGGAAATCCCAATATTGACCCAACATTTGTAATGATATGAAATGGGAATAAACTTATTAATCAATGGTATAGATTAGGAATTCGTGATCGGTAAAATTATCATAAAACTTATTTCAGTTTGTTCACGATTTTAGCAATCGTCAATCACATAATCATAAGTGAAAGTAAAGGCGAATTTACACGAGGACAGTAACTAAAGCAAGTTACTTTATTTAGCGACTGGCTGCGTGTAAACGTCCGATTTAGTACTTGAGACAGTAGGAAATTTAGTGGAAATTTTAGTCCAGTAGATAGAAGAGTATTCTATTTACTAAAGCCAGTAGGTACTCCCACCACATCATTTCTTTACTAAATCATGCACTTAGCACATGTAAACAGCTTTTCTTTAGTAACAAGTCATTGTTGAAATTGAAATTACGTATATATTTACAAAATGTCCACTTTGGCACGTTGGAACGAAGATACTACATTAAAATTCGTGCAGGAGTACAGGGTTAGAGAATGCTTGTGGAATACAAAGGCGGTAATATATAAAAATAGAAATGCTCGCGAAGCAGCATTCCGAGAACTTGAAGAGGTAATGGGAATAGAGGGTTTCGGTGTTAGCGAAATCAAAAACAAAATAAAGGCTTTGCGATCTACATATTCCCAATAATTAAAAAAAATCAAAGATTCTAAGAAATCGGGAACTAGTGCAGACAGCGTGTATACACCTCACGTAAAGTGGTTCCAAGAAATGCACGCATTTCTACATTGTCTGGATAATAAAAGACCTACGCAAGATAATTTAGCGGTAAGTACATTTCTATACATAATTACAGTATTTTATAAGTGTTAACATATGTTCGTCAATACATATCTATTAATATTCAATATATCATCCGTTCTTGCCACGGAACAGCACCTTCTCCCACAAAATAATCACACAGCATGTCTCTTATCTGTCGTGCATATCTAGAAGAATGATTGCTTGTGCCTCCGGAGGTGGATCGAGGGATATTGGTACTATCATTTCTCCACGACCCTTGTGTAAAGCAACCATTGTCGATATCCTCCTCGTCTATAGATCCCCTGGGCATATAATTGCTTGCAGACGTTGTTCTTAACCAGTTATGGAGCGCACAACAAGTTCTAATGATTTTGTCTACAGTTGATGGTAAACATGACATGGGTTTTTCAAACACTCGAAATCTGCTCACAAGGATACCAAATGCATTTTCAACTATACGCCGCGCTCTAGACAGACGATAGTTAAAAATTTTTTGACCTTTGGTAAGCGATATCCGTGAATACGGTTTCATGAGATATTTTTTTAAAGGGAAAGCATCGTCTCCCACTATAAACCCATCGGCTGGCAATAAATCATTTTCCAAAGCGTCGTATAATAATGAATTGAGAAAAACCCCTCCATCTGATTGTCTTCCATTACATCCAATATTGATGTAGGTGAAACAATAATTGTAATCCACAACGGCCATCATAATAATGCTGTTAGTTCCCTTGTAATTAAAATAGTCGCTACCACAGTTAGCTGGTGCCCGTATATTGAAATGTTTCCCATCGATTGCCCCATAGCATCGTGGAAAATTCCATCGTTGACGAAAACCATTTTCAATTATTTGCCATTGTGTGTGGTTTTCTGGTACCTAGAAAAAAAATTATCCAACAATATTCTACGTAATCTCTTATTAATTTTATTAATTGCGTTATGGTTTTAAGATTGCAACTTCAACGCCAAATGAGACCTCGGACGCTAGTGATCAGGATTCTCCTTCCGGAAATGCTCAAGATGGGGAAGCAAAAATAATGGCAAGTGGATGCCAGAGTCACCCACAAAGCATCGCTGCTTTTGAACTTCCAAAAAGTAAAAAAAGGAAATCTAATATAGAACAAGTTTCTTCAGCAATTCATGATCTGAAAAAAATTGCAAAAGATGTGAATAAAGAACCTCTGGTGGAAAACGAATTTCTGGTTTTTGGTAAATGTGTAGCAGCACAGTTAATGAAATTAAGCACAGCTAGTGCTTTATTGGCCCAAGAAAAAATTCAATCAGTTCTAACACATTTTAGAATCCAAGAACTTGAAAAAATGTCTGGCACACCTTTGCGTCCTGTTCAATCACTTCATAGTTCTTTGTCTACAACGCCGATAGCATCACCATCGCCTTCATATTCAGACACGCATGAATTCCAACCATCAACATCATTTTCTTCACATCAATTTGGAGAACCAGGCAAAGATCATAATACAATGATCTTTGAACCAGGTATTAATAGTTACAGTGATATTGTGGCACAGGCGATATCAGCTATTCAGTATAATCCCTAACTTTTTGTACCTTCATACACATATCATATATTGTACATCGTATGTACATCGTATTGTATCATACATACTTGTAACAATAAAAATATAAAATAATACTTACCTTAATGTATTCCTTCAGTGCGACATATATTGCGTCACATACTTTGGGAATAAATTTTGAAATGGCTGGTCGGGAAACTCGAAACTACCTTTGTAAAGTTCTAAAACTATTTCCGGTTGCTAAATACGTCAATGTGATTTCTAGCTTTATCTTTGCCGGAATTGCATCTCTCATAATTGTATCACATGTTGTGATAAAAGGACTAATCTTGGCTAACAATATGTCAAATGCTTCCTTAGACATTCTCATGCAATTTCGGTATTCTCCTAAATCTTCCTCAGATAATTCTTTCAGCAGCATAGAAGAAAATCCATAGGTGCTTCGACGAGCTATCCATTTCCTAACCCACATACGCCTTTTTTTGTTTTGTTCGCGTCTTATTAGATCAATAATTTCGTCACATAGTACTATAATGCACTGGTTTACTGCGACACGAAGACCTACACTTTCAGTTGCTGCCATTTTAAATTAGTTACTAAATGAAATGTGACCTAAACTAGTGTAGACAAATACTAAATGCGTATGTGCTAAAAATTAGTAACTTGCTTTAGTCACTTGCTTTAGTTACTGTCCCCGTGTAAATTCGCCTTAAGGAGTACGTGATTTCGCAATCCTAAAGCGCCTACTACAGCAATCAAATCGATCATTCCGTTGTCTTTGAGGCGGAAATTTTCATTATGAGATAATTTAAAACAAGTTGTAATGCCGATCAGAATTTAATTAGCGAAGTTTTAAATTACCTATCTCATGAGCAATCTAACTCGACATAGACTAGAGCAGAAAAAGCTTTTAGGGAAAATTTGAAGTCTCTAGCTATTGTAATTGCTGAGATCTCAGTCGGCCATAACGAATATAATGGCGTGTTTTTTTCAAAAATGCGCTAAGAATACAAATGTTTTCTTGGAGCGCAATTCAATTTAAATTGCGCGCCTCGTTGTTAAGACCAACCTATTTAACTCGTAACCGGATGCGCAGTAACCTTTGGCGAATGGCGTAACAAGTAACAAACATCAAAGTGCCCTGTGCCGACACAAAAAAGTGTAGTGTGTGCTTTGTGTGTAGACTGTGAAATTTGTCTTATTCAACACTCAGGTAGGAAAATCTCCCAGTATTCTCCCTCCTGTATTATTTAATACCAAAATAGATTTTTGATAAACCAAAACCTGAACAATTTTTTAACATGTTTATCCAGTTATTGTTATTAGGTATGGATGGCAATAATGACACACCGCTCATTAAAATCGAACCAATACGAGAAGAAGAAATCCATTCCTTTCTTCAGGAACAGCACATTTCAGTAAGGAACGAAATTTTGGTGACAGTAAAGGACGAAATTACTATTGGTACTAAATCTCCTTATAACGAAGAAGTACAGCAACACTCTGACTTTCAGTATCACCTTTTATCTCGGTGTAAAACAGCATCTAACGATTTTAAATGTGCTCATTGTGATTATGGGACAAACAAGAAATATTCCTTTAACCAACACCTTTTAACACATAAGCTGTCTAAAGATTTGAAATGTGCTCATTGTGATTATGAAACAAATTCTAAATCCCATATTAAACGGCACCTTTTAACTCATACTGGTTCTAAGGATCTTAAATGTGGTATTTGTAAATATGAGACCAACAATAAATCTTATTGGAACAAACACCTTCTAACACATAAAGTTTCTAAGGATTTTAAATGTGCTAATTGTGATTATGGGACAAATAATAAAGGCAACTTTAAACAACATCTTCTAAAACATAAAGTTTCTAAAGATTTTAAATGTGCTGATTGTGATTATGGGACAAATGATAACCGTTGCTTCAAACAACATCTTTTAAATCATACAATTTCTAAGGTTTTTAAATGTGCTGATTGTGATTATGGGACAAATGCTAAACGCAACTTCATACGACATCTTTTAAAACATAAAGTTTCAAAGGATTTGAAATGTGTTGTTTGTGATTTTGAGACAAACGATAAATACTACTTCAAACAACATCTTTTGAAACATAATGTTTCTATGGATTTGTGGAAATGTGGTAGTTGTGATTATGTGACAAATACTCAATCTTGTCTGAAACAACACCTTTTAAAACATAATGTTTCTTATGATTTTAAATGTGGTCATTGTGATTATGAGACAAATGTTAAAACCCATCTTAAACGACACCTTGTAACACATAAAGTTTCTAAGGATCTTAAATGTGCTAATTGTAATTATAAGACAAATTTTAAAACCCATCTTAAGCAGCACCTTTTAACACATAAAGTTTCTAAGGATTTTAAGTGTGATACTTGTGATTATGGGACAAATGTTAAACGGTACTTCAAACGACATTTTTTAAAACATAAAGAGTCTAAGGATTTAAAATGTGCTAATTGTGATTATGAAACAAATGATAAACAATACTTCAAACAACATCTTTTGAAACATAAAATTTCTAAAGATTTTAAATGTGCTACTTGTAATTATGGGACTAATGTTAAACGGGACTTCAAACGACATTTTTTAAAGCATATAGGGTCTAAGAATTTTAAGTGTGCTAAATGTGACTATGAGACAAATGATAAACAATGCTTCAAACAACATCTTTTGCAACATCCGATTTCTAAGGATTTTAAATGTGCTGATTGTGGTTATGGGACAAATGTTAAAGGCAACTTAAAACGACATCTTTTAAAACATAAAGTTTCTAAGGATTTTAAATGTGCTAAATGTGATTATGAGACAAATGTTAAAGAATGCTTCAAACTACATATTTTAAATCATAAAGTTTCTATAGATTTTAAATGTGCTGATTGTGATTATGGGACAAATAATAAATACCTGTTGAAACGACATCTTTTAAAACATAAACTTTCTAAGGATTTTAAATGTGCCAATTGTGATTATGGGACAAATATTAAAACCCATTTTAAACAGCACGTTTTGAAACATAAAAGTGTCTAAGTTTTAAGTGTGCTAATTGTGATTTTGAGATAAATAATTATGTTCTTTTCAATTTTGACCTCCATCTTGTAGAGAACACCTAAAGATGATGTTAAGTCGAAACACGTAGTGTCTGTCCTTTTTTTTACACTTCATGTACCTAATTATATTGTTTTGAGTCCGTTTGTTCTAACTTTATAAACTCTCTTCCCATTTCGAGTACAGAATGAACTTCATACCAAATCATTTGGATTGATTAGCGACTTCAATTCTTCGTGTACTAATCTGCCTTTTTTTAGTGTAATTAACTTTTACATCACAACTGCAATATACAAAAATTACAATCAGAGGAAATAACTTGAATTTGAATACCTAATTTAAATTTGACGTTAATTTAATACAACATTTGATACGCCAAAATGGTCAGCTCACTATAGATTTCAAAGGGACTGCACTTCTTTTCCATTTGTAAATAATAGGTAACATTTCGAAGTCTCTTACGTAAAGTACGTGAAATACATTTTTCATTAGCTGGACCTTCTACAATCCAGAAGGTATCTGAAGGTCTAGGATACGGTACATAACCTTCAACTAGATATTTCGGGATTAATGCCGCAATAGATTTTTATCCCTTCGGCATCTACCTCTGCACAGGCGAAAAATGTGTTAATGTTACCTCTTGCTCCAGATTTCTCCCCAATATTTACCCTCTGTGAACAATGATTCGGAATTTTCTTCGCCTAGGTTCTTTTATCAGATGAGTATTTCTTTGGCTTTAAATGCATTCTGTCTAAATTTGTAGGAACTCTAGTCGGCATTTTCATTCATTTTACACTTTTAAGTGATTGCAACCTACCTTTCGCACCGTAGGGAATCCGGCCATTGTTCAGTGAGAGGTTTGTATTACTATCTGGTGTTCCGAGTTCGTGTTTTTCCCGCTTTTTGTTAGCGCGGGAGCTGTCGACTTGGGTAGTGTAGATCACAACTTATGCTCATATGTCTATGGTAAGGGTAACCGATAATATCAAATATATGAAAAGTTTCAGAGCCAAATATTAGGAGGTACTATATAGGTGCGTTGGTTTATACGTTCCGATGACTCTTTTTGCACAAAGCGCTCGTTTATTGGTATACCAGAAAAAACGTTAACTCGGTACTCAACTGTTTCATTACTTTGATTGCAAAATGATGCATTTATAGTAATTTGAAAGGGTATACCACATGTACCTATAATAATAAAAATGAAGTGGAAATAAATAGAATTAAACTGCAGATTGAAAATCATTGATTTGTAAATTATGACAACGGATTATTTTTCATCAACTGAATATCCGAATCCATCATATCCTTAACTAATTCCTCAAACTTAATCTTCACTTGCCACCCCAATTCCCGTTGGGCTTTGCTAGAATCTCCAAGCAGTAGGTCCTGAAACAGAAGAGTTAGTGAAAATGACACAAGACTTCCAATCTTTCCTTTCGTACCACTTCAGTAGGTCGGAAATACTTCGCGTCCACTTTAACACGGATTATTCCCGTATCCTTCTCCTTTCCAATTTCGTTTAAGCCTTCGCCTTCCCAAACGATTTCTTTCCCAATGTAGCGAAAGACGGTTTCCACAAATTCCCGCACGCTGCGAGTTTGTCCGGACGCAATCACGTAATCCTTGGGAGCGTCCTGCTGGAGCATCAACCACATTACCTACGAAAAAGCTGATCATAGTGAAAACGCAGGTGAATACCGACTTCTACGTAGTCCTTCGCGTGGCCCCAGTCTCTCTTCGAGTCCAAATTTCCTAGAACGACGTACTCTGAGAGACCCAAATGGATTTTGGCAACTTCCCTCGTAATTTTTCTGGTAACAAATGTCTCACCGCGCCGCGGACTTTCATGGTTAAACAAAATTCCATTACAAGCGTACATATCGTAAGCCTCCCGGTAGTTGATGACAATCCAATAGGCATACAACTTAGCGCAAGCTATTAATAAGAGGCTGTACGGCGAAGTGCATTCTAGACCGTAA